TTTCTGGCTGCCTGCCCTTCCCTGCATCACTTCCTCACTTGCCTACTGATATTTTCTTGACCTCCTAAGTAAACCACTTGCAATTAAATCCTTGTCTCAGAGTTTGCTTCCAGGGATGCAAATTGTCTCTTGTGTGGCAAAGTGCATTAAAAAAAAAAAAAATCATAATGTCTGGCAACCAAATTTTAGTAAATTCTTAAGAAAAATGCAAAGAGAATTTGTTAAAATCTAAGTGGGAAATTACATCGAAGTGAGTAATGTGGTATTATGGGAATCATCCTGCTTGAGCAATCTATTCAAAGTTTAACTTAAGAATAGCAAACAGGCTGGGCGCAGTGGCTCACATCTGTAATCCCAGCACTTTGGGAGGCCGAGGCAGCAGATCACGAGGTCCGGAGATTGAGACCATCCTGGTTAACATGGTGAAACTCCATCTCCACTGAAAATACAAAAAATTAGCTGGGTGTGGTGGCACGCGCCTGTAATCCCAGCTACTAGGGAGGCTGAGCCAGGTGAATCCCTTGAACCCGGGAGGCGGAGCTTGCAGTGAGCCGAGATCCCGCCACTGCACTCCAGCCTGGGTGACAGAGAGACCCCATCTCAAAAAACAAACAAACAGACAAAAAAAAAATAACATTTATTGAGGGCTTATGACTTATTAATCATTATTCTAAGAGCTTTATATTTGCATTTTTCATCTTGTGTAATCCTCGTAAATTATGAGATTCAAAGCAAAGAGCTATTGAGTAATTCATCAAAGATCATAAACCTAGCAAATAGGGAAGCCGAGATTTAAATTCAAGCAGTGCCCCATGTTCCTAATCACCACATTCTGCTGCTCTTTTCTGGAGGAACAGAAAACACCATGGTGTGCTCTTGCTGTGCTGGGCTTCAACTACTTACTCATTTATTCCTTGGGTCTGCATCAGAGACAGAACTAATCTTCAGAGCTACATTAAGAGCTCAGATGGCCTTGCATGCAGAACAATGGCAAAAAGCCAAGTGTTAAAGTTGCATGGGAGGAAAAAAACCCCTAAGAGAGTTTAGTTGCATCAACTTTCTACCTCCAAAGTTTTAGGGTCTCTCATTGGTTTATGTACCTTAAACTATAACTAAGACAGTACTAAACAGAAAAAAGGCTGGCAACCTCTTTGTATACTGCTGATTTATCCAAGGTGGAACTGACTTACTGCATCTTGGTTATGTGGGAAGAAGAAAGAAAAAATATAAAACTCTAAATAAATACTTGGAAAGTCTAAGTTGTAGCTCTTTTACATTTCCTACATATTAAAACTGTAGTTTTGGTCAAAGCTGGTATAGAAAGTGAGTCAAGAAGAAGCCGTTCAAGCCTATGAACACCTCTACAGAGCACTCACCTCTGAACCCTTAAGAAAAAGACTCCAGGGTATCTAGGGAGAGGTATAAAGTCATGACACTGGGACAAACTGAGTCCTACCACTGCTTCTCACTCCTGGCTGATCTCAGGCCAGAGGAAGGTCACTGCTGCTCTGCCAGTATCTTCTCAAAGGTTAGATAGACATGGACACCTCTGATCATTTTCACAATAACCAAATGAGACACTTTGAAATGATTAAGACACATGCATACGCACAATTCAGAACAGAAGATTACTAGTAACACGGAATGCTCAGGATTTTCCTGAAAAGAAGGAAATCCACTGGGAAATGAGTGGAAGGGTATTTCTTTACCTCTTAAAGATATGTTTCAAGCCTTAGGTTACACTCAAAGTCAAGGTTTATAAGAGACCAACAGGAAGGGAGAAGGGCTCTTTGATCCCTTTTTGATCTTTCTGATCTTTTTGATCGAGACCATCCCGGCTAACACAGTGAAACCCCGTCTCTACTAAAAAAACCACACACACACACACACACACACACACACACACACACACACACACAAAATAGCCAGCTGTGGTAGCACATGCCTGTAGTACCAGCTACTCGGGAGGCTGAGGCAGGAGAATCACTTTAAGTCAGGAGGGGGAGGTTGCAGTGAGCCAAGATTGCACCACTGCACTCCAGCCTGGGTGACAGAGCGAGACTCCATCTCAAAAAAACAAAAAAAAGAGTAAATATGCAAACACAGTTCTGTGTATACATTTTATGACCTTTTAAAGGAACACATCTTGTACAACTTAAGTAATTTAAATTAGAACATTCTACTATATGAAACTGAGGTGTATGCATGCATGTGTGTGAATTCACATAGGCAAAAATGCTTTCCTGGAAACACATAAGGACAAACCATTAAAATATTAATAGAGATAACTGTAGTTCACTCTAAACTTAAAAACAAGCAGGTATTAATGTATAATTTGGATAATTCAAAATAAAAATAATTTTAAAAAGCATGAAGATTTTAATTTCTGAAAAGAACAATAAAGAGAGGCTGCGTGTTTAGAAAGAACGGAAACGTGGTGGTGGCCTACAGGGCAGGTCAGTGGATGGAGAAATCTGTCAAGTACCAGGGGGTGAAGGAAGCAGCTGCTTAGGAAGCCCAGTGATTAGAATCCTTCTTTTCAGACAGATCAGAGATGACGCAGGAATTTGCCCTTAGAGAAAACAGATTAGAGAAAGGGTATCTTTTTTGTTATGGGGCAAAGAGTAGCATCAGCAGATGCCCAATAAACCAGTCTCACAATTTGGCAGTTTTGTTTATTCATTTTTGCATTTTTTAATAGTAGCAAAATATACATAACATAAAATTTACCATTTAATGGTATTATGTATATTCATATTGTTGTGTATTTGGTATTTTCACATGCAATTTTGTATTTTAAAAATGTGTCAAAAAGCTATTTTTTTCTCTTTGACTGAATTATAAACACCCAGGAAAGGAGATAGATGGCTTGATTCTTTGCCTCACATTAAGAAGTCGGTGTCACCATAGCAAAGGCTTGGTATCAACCCAAATGTCCATCAGTGACAGACTGGATTAAGAAAATGTGGCACATATACACCATGGAATACTATGCAGCCATAAAAAAGGATGAGTTTGTGTCCTTTGTAGGGACATGGATGCAGCTGGAAACCATCGTTCTCAGCAAACTATCGCAAGAACAGAAAACCAAACACCGCATGTTCTCACTCATAGGTGGGAAATGAACAATGAGATCACTTGGACTCTGGAAGGGGAACATCACACACCAGGGCCAATTATGGGGAGGCCTGGCAAACCATCATGAACAGAAAACTAAACACCATGGTTCTCACCATAAAAATGAATACTGAGATCACTGGGACTTCCGGGAAGGTATCACACACCAGGGCCACCACAGTGTGGTTTTGAGGGCTGTAGGGATTGCATTTGGGGAGTTATAATTGACAAATGATGTTGTGATGGTGCTGACTTGTTGATGGTGCAAGCACACTGGGTCATGGCATACAAGTATACATATGTAACAAACCTGCACGTTTTGCACATGTACCAAAAAACTTAAAGTACTAAAAAAAAAAAAAAAAAAAAAAAAAAGGTCAGTGGTAACGCCTTACACCACTCCTTCCAGGGTACATAACCAGGAACCTGCTATTGTTCACTGGTTCATTGTTAATTAATCAGATCTCTGATCATGACCAAAAATGGTGGTACAGAAAGACAGACTGATAAACTGGGAATTCTAAAGGGATCCTCACACCATGTTAGATGGTGATAGTGGCAAAGAAGCAACTATGGCAATCACTGGCCACTATTATTTTGTAAGCCACAGGACAGACAAAGGAAGGCGGAATACAAAAAAATTTTCCAAGCAGCACTACTTTTGGGGTCATGAAACCATTAATATCTTGCTTTCTTTGTTTTTTTTTTTTTTTTTTTTTTGAAACACTATCTTGTTCTGTTGCCCAGTCTGGAGTGCAATGGCATAATCATAGCTGACTGCAGCCTCGAACTCCTGGGCTCAAGCAATCCTCCTACCTCAGTCTCACAAATAGCAGGGTCACCTGGATGACTTTTAAAATTTTTTATAGAGACAGGGTCTCACTATGTTACCCAGGCTGGTCTTGAACTCCTGGGCTCAAGTGATCCTCCCACCTGAGCCTCCCAAAGTGCTGGGATTACAGGCGTGAGCCATAGGTGTCCAGCCAATACTTTGCTTTAACCCTTCATGATTTATGTCAATGCTATTTCACCTTCAAAATAGTACTGGAAATTAGTCAAGACAGAGGCTTTCCTCCCTTTAATATATGAGAAAACTCCGGGAGTGGATAGGACTTGACTTGCCTATTACAGGAATGACTGGTCCTCCTGAGTGAGTAAATGATCAGACACTCTAAGTGAGACACTGTATCAAGGAACTGGAGACAAACTTAAAAATGAAACCAGTTGTTCCAATAGAATTTGAATCTTTCCAATCTTGCAGCTTACATGCTGCAGGCTACATTCAAAAACAGATCCTAGTAAACCCAGGACTCAGCCTCTCTCCGTGGTAAAGGCAGTCTTCATTACTCCTGTAAGTGTCCACTAAGCAATCGCCCTACTGTGCAGGGATACTTTGTTTGATGACCCTGTCTTTTCATACCAGAAGTGGCCATGGCGCCTTAAGTAGTGATGTACTCAGAAATACGCTGTCTTGATTATGAAGAAGCCACAGAATCTGTTGTTCTTTTTTGTTTGTTTGTTTTTTCGAGACGGAGTCTCGCTCTGTTGCCCAGGCTGGAGGGCAGTGGTGTGATCTCGGCTTACTGCAAGCTCCACCTCCTGGGTTCACGCCATTCTCCTGTCTCAGCCTCCTGAGTAGCTGGGACTACAGGTGCCCGCCACCACACCGGCTAATATTTTGCATTTTTAGTAGAGACGGGTTTCACAGTGTTAGCCTGGATGGTCTCGATCTCCTGACCTGGTGACCTGCCCGCCTCGGCCTCCCAAAGTGCTGGAATTACAGGTGTGAGCCACCGCACCTGGCCAGTCAGGTATATTTTCAACAGTCTCCAAGAAAACATTGCTATAGGAAACAAAACATCTAATATTAGCTCTTTGATTACCTGATTTCAGGGGATGAAGAGCTTTCATTTGCATCTGTCCTTTTATTTCTTGGAAATGATGGACTAGTCGGAGGCATCTCACCACTTAAGCGGTCTGGAAAAATACGGTCTTTATTCAAATTGATTTCTGAATAGGGACAGTTGGCAGCACTAACAGATTAAAAGAAAAAAGAAAAGAAGAAGAACATTGAACATTTCCATTAGGCCATACTTCTTCCAATTAAAATGACAGGCTACAGAATATAAAATTCTAACATTTAACTGAATATGTTAAATTGTTATATTTTATAATCATACATACAGCATATTTTATCTTTAAAACATAATATATACAAACAGGAAATGGGTTTTTACACTAGACTTTAAGAAAGAATCTGTTGCAATCTTCAGAACTGAGCAAGGGTCACTGAAGGACTCCCTCTGTGCGTATCTCTGGAAACAATCAGCCCCCAGAAAGAAACGCTTAAGACATCATTCAAGACAGAGGTGGGAGAGAGACAGACTGATTGGTTAATGGAGCAGATTTGCTTCTGCTTCCTAAGGGGATCCTCCAGGCCCAGGGCAGTCACACGCTATTTAATTTCCTTTTTTAATAGTTACTACACTCCAAAGGACGGACGTTTCCTCATGGGCTGTTCCTGTGTTCAGGTCTGGACCTATGCCTGATGTTCTAGAAAATACATTGATCAATTTGTAGCTAATCTTGTTCCTAACACGAAAAAGGACCAGAGGCCAACTTGGATAATGATGCATCGAGCTCATTTCCCTTCCATTTGTGACTACCAGTTGGTCTCTCAGGTCTCATTTGGTGATGATTCCTGAAAGGAAATCGAGGTCACTCATTGTTAACTCATCATTAGTTAGTATATTCCTGTGCCCAGGGCCTCAGCATTCCAGTCTCTGAAACAACTGGGCAACTGCTGTCTCTCAGACCCCAATATACATGGGCCTCTCCAAATAACTGCCTATCGTGCCTCTCTGCTTTTGGGAAGCATTCTTAAATCTGGAAATGGTTTGGGCCTTAGGTAAATTACATCAGAATCTTCTATGTTCTTTTCTTCAGTGTAGAAGACAGTGAGAATGTTGATAATCACCCAGCGAAAATTTTTAAACAGTGTCTAGCTACCCTGCACCAAGAGGATCTGAGACACCCTCCTAGGAAAAGGAGGGAAGAGTTTAAAAGGGCTGCCAGCCAGGTGATTCTGATAATGGCCTACAAGATTTATCACAGATATCTGATAAGCAAAAATTCTAACTTTAGTTTCTTTAAATACTGCTCATCTACACTGGTATCTATGCAAAAGAAGAAAGTAAATAACATGTGATCATGTGCTGACATAAATTTATATAATGTCAGCTTAACATCAACAAAAAAAAAACCAGTGACATTTACGGAGCACTTATGATACATCAAGCACTGTGCTAAGTGCTTTACATGCAATATTTTACTTTATCTTGCCAACATCCTAGAAAAAGGCATTTCATACAACAAATTAAAGCTTATAACAGTTAAATAACTTCAGTCTTCATTTCATTCATTTTTTCACCAAGCACTTATCGCGTATCTATTACGTGCTAATTACCTTTCCAGGCACTGGAAACTCAGTGGACAATAAAAAGACAAGAAACCAGTTCTCTGGTTTCATGGAGCTGATATTCCAGGGGGAGATCAGCAATACACAATTATACACATAAATTAGATAACTTCATATGGTAATACATGCCATGAAAAAGAAATACCATGATATAAAAGAGGGTGTGAGGATGCTATGATGGAGTGGTGAGGAACGTCCTCCTTGGAGCAAAACACCCGAGCAGAGCTATAATGGTCAGGAAGAAGGACCTGTACGGAAATAATGTGGGGAAGAATGTTCCAGGGGATGGGAGGAGCAGTGCCAACAGGAAAAGCTTGACTTGTTTGAGGGAAAGGACCAGGTTGGCTAGAGTGTGGTGGGGACGAGATGAACTAGGAGAAGCAGGCAGGCAAATATTATGTAGCGCCTAGCAGGCCAGTCAGGACTTTATATTTTTAGCAAACGTTGTATCTGAAGGTGATGGAAGATCTTTAAATAAGAGAATGACAAGGTTTGATTTACAATTTTAAGAATTACTCAGGATGCCTTTGGGAGAGAAGATTTTAAAGGCAGAGAAGATTTCAAGGGATGGAACTGGAGCAAGAAAAGTTACTTAAAAGTTATTTTTCTCTTTTTGGAGAGAGGATTTTGAAAGCAGAGAAGATTTCGATGGGACTAAATTGAAGACAGAAAAGTTGTTCAACAGGTAAATATATGATGTAACTTGGATTTGTGTGGTTGAGATGGGGCAAAAATGAAGAGGACAGTCATGGTATCCTTTGTCATCCCAAGAAGACCTGTGGATGGATGGGAGATGGATGGGAGATGGGAAGCAATGGAAAGGAAGAGTTCAGGAATGGCCATTTGGTTTTTGGCTTGAAGAACTGGGTGGTAACAGAGGTACCTTTTTTTTTTTTTTTTTTTTTCCTGAGATGGAATGACTAAGGAGAAGACGATTTGAGGGTAACATCAGAAACTGTGGAATTTGTTTATTAGACATCTAAGCAGAGATGTTACTTGCCCAAGGTCACATAGCAATGAAGTAGCTCAGCAAAATGAACACACTATTTCACGCATCACCTTGAGCATGGGGAGATGGTAGTACTTCATTTTATTCATTTAGTAATAATGTGAAGGAAAATCCATTCCCAACTATGATGTCTCTTTTGAACACCAGCCCTTTATATGTTTCACGGGATCCTAATTCAGAGTTCATGAATGCAGGTGACCAAAACCAATTCTGCCTAACTTGAGCAGAAAACACTCACTGGAAGGGCACTTGACAGCTCAACAGGAAGGCCAGAAAAATCAGGCTTGGGTAGGGAGCAGGGTACAAGCAACACACTCCCTCAAAACGATTTGCACAGGAGGAGGCTGCTGCTGGGCATGTGGCCCTCATGCCACCGCTCTCAGCCCCCCTGCCCTTTCCAGGCCCTGGTCTAGTCCTCAGTTCCATAGAGGCTGCAATCGCAAGGTCTGACCTGTCTTCACCTCATTTCTCAAGATGGAAAGCCGGATGGCAGCATCTGATTGGTGGGTGTGGGATTCCTGCCCACAGTGAAACTGCTAACGGCCTGAGAAAGGGAAGTCTGGGTCCCCTGTGGCTCCCTAGTAAGAGGTGTCAGACCTAACACTCATCTTGACCTCAAGGAAAATACAAATTTTCACTAAACATTTCCACTCAGATGCCTTAGGGTCACCTCACAATAAACATGTTTAAAACGAACTTTATCATCTTTAACGAATCATGCCCCTCCACCCAAAAATGATTAAAAATTCACTCTCCTAAAAGATAAAAAACACAACCAGCTCCTCCTGCTGTTCTGACTCTGTTTCTGACAAGATAAATTTATTAACCCAACCTCAGGTCTTCACCATCTTTGACTCCACTCTATTATTTGTTCCTTATATTGTGTGTTTTTGTTGCAAATTTATCTACTTAAGCTTTATGACAGTAAAAAAAAAATAACAATTCAAAGACAACTTTTTAGTTTCTTTAAATAAACCATACGCAGTTATTCCTAGAATATCATGAGCAGCATTTCATTCATTGTTAAACACTTGGCCTTATAATTATTAAATAATTGTATATACATTAAAATTGAAATTTTACTGGATATGAAGAAAGTGACAGGTTCTCTTCTTTACCTCATCTACCTCCAACGATGGAAAGACTTGCAGGATTCTTAGATGGTCTAGGTCCCCAATTTAGCACGAATTACAGTTACAGTGTAGACAATTTATATCCTAAGCCCTAGGAGGGCAGCATCTTCACCTATTTGTTGAATAAATGAAAGAATCTCTCTCGAAATCACCATATGTAAACTTAGAAAGCTCAAGAGAGAGTAAGACTGCTGGCCAGAATGAGACTTACCATTTAAATATCTTTTTTTTTCCTTTTTTTTTTAAAATAGATTGCTAGGACCAGAGAGTAATTTCAATTTCAAAACCTCAACCTAAAGCAGGGAAAAACATTCACAGCCCTCACAGCAGTGATTTACTAATGATCTACCAAGGGTAGCCTATCAGCTATCGATTTTATGTTAACCCCCTTTCTTTGAACCCTGAGAAGAGTCAAAAGGGTCAAGAAACCTCCCATTTTCACACCTACTCTGGGGTAGAGAGGAAAGCAGCTGGCTCCTGAAGTGGGAGGTGATGATGAAATGAAAAGTCACAAAATGCAAAAGGAGCTCAGGTGACCGGACATGCATGGAGGGGGGCATCAGGGAGCCTCATTCTGATCCTGCTCTGCTGCTTCATCCTCCACTCAATAATGAGCAAGCACAGGCTCCGAGATTCTGTTTCATCTGTAAAATGAGGATGATAGTAACAAAACTGACCTCGGGTTAAGTGCATTACCCAGACCAAATGTTTACATTACCTATTTAATTCTCACAATCCTAAGAAGTAGTTCCTTTGGTGCTTAAAAAGGAATGCTGTTCAGTGTCATTCAATCGGTTCCTGATGGAATTACATCAGGAATTGTGGCTGTCTCTTAACTAGTGTATTATATGGGTGAATAGTACCCTCACACATTGAAGAATTTCCTTATTCCTAACCCATGACAATGAACTTGATCTGAGAGTACCATCTTCTAGCAAGATGCTACTGCCTGCTGTCTGTACTCATAGAGCTAACATGGATTGTGTGCTTACTATGTGTCAGGCACTGTTCCAAAATTAACTTCTTTACTTATCACACTATTCTTTTTAAGCAGATACTACTGTCACCAATTATTTTATAAATGAGGACACTGGCACAAAGAAGTTAAGTATCGGCTCAAGGTCACAGAGCTTTGTAAAATAATCTTATCTGATGGCTTTAACCACAAAAGCCAACCTATAGAACATGGATCAAGTATTTCACTATTTTATCTACCCCCATTAACAAGCTCTTTGTATAAGAATTAGAGTAAAATTCACAAGTAATCATGTTTTTGAGGAGTTGGAACGACTCCTGTGTCATTTCAAAGAACACAAGTGACATATGTGATCTGCATCGTTAGAAATGTTGCTTTTTCTCTTCCATGTTTGTTCTGTTATGTACAGATACAAAGTTGTTAACTTCTAAAACTGCATATGAACTTTAAAAAACTCACCAGTGCAAATTAAACATCTATGGAAAAAGTTGGTTCTCACTAGGCTTATAGACTTCTAATTTCTCACATACTAAGTTTCTAGGGACAAAACTTTAAGAAGGTGTGGCTTACCACATAACGTGTATATATTCTGTCATGGTTAGACACGTGCACATGTATACATACAGCTCTTTACTATTATGCAACTCCTCAGCAAGCAGAAGGATAGAGTCCCATAGGATGATACTGTTCTCTACTGTAAGTACTTTATTGAGGTGCATCCTACACTATTAGCACATTATTTCACATATCAGCTAAATATGCAAATACTTGCCCCACTGGCTCCTCTAAGGAGAATCATTTTCACACTCTGTCCTGACAAAAAACAGTTACAAAAAAAAAAAAAAAATCCACAAAGGGGGCTCTATCAGGACACTGTGCATTGCATGAATGCCCAGCAGTTAAGAGCAGGGACTTAAGTGCGTTACAGGCCTGAGCTGAATCCTGGTTCCACCAATGTACAATCTCAGGCACTTACTTAAGCATTTCAATTCTCTGTCTCCTCATCTGTAAAACAAGAACTAGAAAAGTGCCGAACGTTCACAGGGTTCCTGTGACGACCAAATAAGATCACACAGGTTAAGTCCTTGAAGCAGTAACTGGAACATAGGAAGTCATCAATGAATCCCACCTATTATTATTATTTAAAAAGAAGAGTGACATTTAACCCCTATTGTGTAAAAAGAACATCAGCAAAAAGTAAACAGCAATAAAAACTCCATAACACACTTCGTTATGAATGCTCTGCTTCCCTCATAAAAAGCTGATGCTTCTCTCTGAGCGCCACTCCACTCTTGCCTCTATGAGAATCTGTTTATACCAGACTGGCCTCTTTAGAAGGAGGGACCCTCTCCTCTATACAGCCCCTCACCTAACCCAGCAGGTGACACAAAGGTTTGTTCATGGATAGATGCATGCTGAATTAATATGATGTTTACAGCTTGCAGGGGCATACCAAGAGTTACTACTGTTTAAAACATTCCATGGACTTCATTAATATCCTTTATATGTTGCTGAAAACATTGTTTCCTCTTTTCTTGTTTCATTTCTCCAAGACCAAATCTTACATAGAAAAGATTCAGTTCTGAAGGCACTCGATATGTAAAATGTCTACTTTTTTTTTTTTTTTTTTTGAGATGGAATTTCGCTCTTGTTGCCCAGGCTGGAGTGCCGTGGCACGATCTCAGCTCACCACAAACTCCGCTTCCTGGGTTCAAGTGATTCTCCTGCCTCAGCCTCCCGAGTAGCTGGGATTACAGGCGCCCGCCACCATGTCCGGCTAATTTTGTACTTTTAGTAGAGATGAGTTTCTCCATGTTGGTCAGGCTGATCTCGAACTCTTGACCTCAGGTGATCCACCTGCCTCAGCCTCCCAAAGTGCTGGGATCACAGGCGTGAGCCACTGCGCCCAGCCGGATGTCTACTTTTATATAACTTTATTTCCTTTAACATCTTCCCATTCCTTACCCTCTCTCGGTAGGCCAAATAAATGAAGTGACAAAGGGTGTTTCTGTGACACAACCAATATTAATGTTCCCTTGCTAGAGAGTTGGAATTAAGCAATTTGGCTCCTGAATATCCCTAAAGATGAGAAAACCACACCCACACCCAACCCTTTCACTGATCATTTATATTTCACCATTTTAAAAAACGTTAAATTATCAAGCTTCATTGTTTAGACACGTTTTAACACTTCTTAGATCAAATTCAAACACTGTAATCTTCAGAGAAGGTAACAACAAACACTAGTCAAAACAATGTCTCTTGCTTATGTGTTCGTTAAATTGATTATTTTTGCTAAAAGAGCAACTTTCTTTGTCATCTATGCGAAGAGTGCATGTTTTGATACATGCAGTTTCTCAGCAAATTAATCCAAAGAGAATTTTCTCATTATGTTTTCCTAAACACAGCATTCTTAGTAAGAACAAAAATAAGAGCCAGTGAAATGAACCTTTCAAAGAATATCCATAATGCAGCAAGCTCCTCCACAAGTCTACTAATGAAATGGAAAACAGGCTGTGCCAATTAAGGATTAATATCCTGCCAGAAAACGAGCTTTGAGTGTTGTAAATAAGACAGCATAGTGAGGGAGTCTAAGAAAACCTAGTTCGAAGACTGAGGAGAAGGGATGTTAGCACTTGGGCAGAAACTGGGACCTCCAGGAGTTCCGTGAATTGCATCCCTTGGTCCAGGGGCTTGAGTCAACCAACAACTCTGCCCAAGGCACAAAATCTGCTAGTTATGCTCTCTATATGTGACAAGAAAATGAATACAGGTTCTTTATCAATGCTTTCCTTTAAGCCATCAGGTGTACTTCTGCCTCTCCTTCCAAGAAAATTAGTCATTCTCTCTTATGATTCCAATTCCACTGGAAAGGGCTCCTTACCACGTTTCTCTATAAAGTCTTCCACTAATCCTCTTAACAAGCACAACACTGCATCTGTGAAGAAATGCTCTAAATATAACGACTGAAACTTGGTGAAATGGGTGTGGCCCAGCTGAGGAACCCTCAGAGGTCCACCTGCACACTTGGGGAAAGGCAGTCCTGATGAATGGCTGGGCCATCAAGGAGGGGACACAACTGTCACCATGGACCTTGCTGTGAAAGGCAAACCTCTCCACTCAAATGTAAAGCAGCCCTAAGGAGACCACGGACACTGCCGTAAGGTGTGAATTCCTTCCAGAAGACCAAAAAAAGTTTTGTTTAATCTTCAATTGCACCTCAACAACATATTGTTAGTATTGACTCATTTAAAATTTTTCTTTGTTCTTTTTCTTCACAACTTGAGCAAGTTCTCTTTGCTCCAATCAACACTTTGTACAGCAGAGAGGGATGTGTGCCAAAGTTCTGATATTTTGTATGTTGTGTTTTAATTAAATTATGTACAGGTTTTATAGCTCTATCAGCCTGTGAATTCTTTGAAGGTTGGGTCTGTGACTAATTTATGGAGTAGTGTCTTGAGAGGCCATTAGAGGGGAGTGGTCCAGAGCACAGACCCCTGAGCAACACTGGGTTCCCTTCTCCCCAGCTGTGAAGTAAAGCCAGTTACCAACCTCCCCAGTACCTCCGGTGGCCTCACCAAAACATGGGGGGAAAACCAGTTCTTACATCACAGGGCCGTTATGAAGGGTATCCAAGATATGTAAAGCAATTAGAGCAATATCCGGCACAGAATAAATAAATGCTCAATAAATCTTAGTTCTTGTTGAAAAAAATGCTGCTCGAAAATATTTACTGAATGAGTTTCTAAACATATTGCTGCAGTTTGAATACCTCCTCCAAAACTCATGTTGAAATCTGACTGCCACTGTGACAATACTGAGGTGGATCAGGCTCTGCCCTCCTGGATGAATAAATGACATTATCGCAGAAGTGGGTTCGTTATCATGGGAGCGGTTGTTATAAAAGGAAGTTTGGCCCTCTCTGGCTCTCTCACACATCATCTCTTGCCCCTCTACCTTCTGCAGTAAGAAAGCCCTCGTCATATGCTGGCCCCTGGATCTCGGACTTCCCAGCCTCCAGAAAGTGAGAAATAAATTTCTTTTCTTTACAAATTACCCAGCCTACGGTATTCTGTTATAGCAACACAAAACAACTAAAATAATATTGGAAATTTAGTATGTTCATGAATTATTTCTGGCATCTAGATTTACATAATAGCTGAAGATCCAGCTGCCTTCACTAGGCAATATTTAATAACTTCTAAGATATATCATATAACTTTTGGTTTGCAGTTAGACAAGCAACAAAAAGGATTTGCAAATGGAATCATCATCCTGTCTATGCTCAGACTTCTCACTCTGGAACATATTGAACCTCATAAAACAGCAAGGAGAATGTTGAAAAAGGAAGCTAAGAAGGATTCAAGGTCGCAGAGATGAAAAAAAGAGAAAACTATATCCAGATGAAAATAATCACACCAATTTTGCAATTCCTATTAACGTTTGGAGGAACAGGTACAGTAATCTTCAAAATTTTTAAAGACCTAGATTCACAACTAGATAAACAAGGAATCATTTTTCTTACTGGACAATCCAATTACTAAGTAGTTAGAACATTTTACCAACAAATTATTATTTTAAAATATACCTAAATAGGTGATACGTTTATTCCTTAAAAATGCCAGTTGAATGACAGGAATTTCTTAGTATTTCAGTAATTTTTTTTTTAAGAGACAGGATCTTGCTATGTCATCCAGGCTGACCTCGAACTCCTGGACTCAAGTGATCCTTCCACCTTAGCCTCCAAAGTAGCTGTACTTCAGTAATATTTTTAACTCTCTACAAAGATCCCCAAATCACCAAATACATCACATTTCAAATGTATAAATTTGGTTTCTTTTTAAAGTTACTTAGGGATAAGATAAAAATATTTTAAAAATGTGTTTCGGACCAATGCACTCTCATGTTTGACTATTTATATTGTGCCTTTTGTGATCTTTGCTGCTAATCTACAATAATCTCAGCTCTCATTATTCAAATTATTGAGTCACCCAATCAGATAATATTCTACCAAATGATATCAACAGAGTCTCAGCTCTTCTCATTATTAATGATCAATGCAAAATAACTATTGCAGAAATTAAGTATCTGTAAAACTAGTCAGATTGCCAAGAAAAGTCAAAAGGCTAGAGTAAATCCATTTTAAACCGTGAATGGATTTTCTTCCAGAAAGATTTTACTATAGATATTGCCTTCATTTTTACATGATCACCATGGTAACCACATTTCTTATGGATCTGAATTTAAAATTAGTTCACATCAATTTGGTATACATGAAATTCATTATATATACATGTATATGGAACAGGTACCCTATATTTGACCACGTCAGTGACAGCTACCACATACCTGTGAGGGCCCAGATGTCTTGCTCTCTTAAAATGGCCAATCCCTTTACATCCCGGGGTTGAGCATCCACCGTGTTCTGAAGCTTCCATTAATTCTAGGGGGCCTATGAAAGAGCAAAGAAAAGAAAGAAGGGGCAAAATATTAAGCAAAAATCTGTTAAGAGTCAAATGTCTGGGATCAGAATAAGGAAGAAAAAGACTCCCTAAAAATCCAATTTTGGAATCAACATACAACATATATAAACAGAAAAAGCAGATCCTATAAAAATGAAAAATAATTTAAAAGACACTACGTTTAAAGGTTTTTCCTTATGACTGTTCACACTAATTACCTTTCTTCAACAACGAAATGGTAAACTCTGATCTAACAATCTTTCAAAACACCATAAAGTCCAGAGATATCTAAATGTGAATTAACAAGAAGAGTCAAACACCTTTTATTAAGTAAATAACATAATTAAAGCATGACTACTCACATACCGTGAACACTTCAAGTGCTACAGAAGAATCCAGAATGACAGTTCCAGATCCCTCCATGCTCTTCCTTCTACGTTGCAGAGACCCTCCCTCATTCTGACCACTGAGGTTAGTGTGGGCTCTCCTGGAAATTGTTCTAAGCATTCAGACATATTCGGTTTTGTTTGACTTTGCCACATAAAAGGCACAACATAGATGTTTTATTTTGCCACATAAAGGCCCAATATCCTTCTTTGGTTTTTAACTTCTTGTCTTACAAATTTTTCTGTTGCAATACTAACATTCTTTGTGACTACTGCATAGTTTCTACAGCACAGTGCACCACAATTTATTTAACTAATATTTTTCCCCAAGCTTTGCTATTCTAAACATGCTACACTGAATGCCATGTACATGTGCCCTTATGCAGGTTGTATGTAGCATCCAGAAGTCAAGTCACTGGATACAGGAAGTACACTAAATTTTTAAAAAACTTGATAATAATTTACTGTATTTCCTACATATTTTTTTCTATAATGTATACATTTTCCTCCAAAATTAAGGTCGTGGTGTGTTAAGTTCTCCATGTATCTTTTCTAAAATTTGAATTTAACTGAGATTTGTATTAAGATAATTATAGATTCACAAGCAGTTGTAAATAATAATACAGAAAGAGATCTCTTTTGCACTTTGCCCAGTTTCTCCCAATGCTAAAATTTACCAAAGCTATCATATAAAATTACTATCAGAATGCTAATATTGAAACAATAAATTTTGAAAGTCTCACAAATTGTCTTCCGAAAATTTAACATGAATTTTAAGAGGTGATATTTACTTCTAAATAAAACAGAATGTCTATACACGCTTTACTTTTTCAGGCATTATGTTTTTTTTTAATTTATATTTCTGTGACTATGGTAATTAAAATGTAGTAAAAGGAAAGGATTACATAGAGAAGAAACATCAGGAGAGAGAGGAAGAGAAAGAGAAGGGCTAAGGATGAAATCTTAAGAATGCTACTTATGGAAATGGAAACATTTATACAAGCTATTTGTGTCTCTTACTCAAAGGAGGCTGAAGGGGATGTCCTGTTTTTGAACACCAGCCTACAGGGTGAATATCAGGAGAATCCGCATCTATCCAGTAATCATAGCAATTATTCCAGCCATCAAAGTGAACCTGGATGACACAAGGACATTAACAGTACAAATTAAGTCACAAAAATTCCTGTAATCAAAGTTCTGCCCACAGCATAACCATTTTCATTTTAACATATATAGTAGGATTTAAAACCCAATAAATCAGTTCAATTATTCAAAATACTTCACTCATAATGTGAAAAAAAAAGACATCTTTGAATCACCTTCAATGTATTATATAACCAGTCATAAATGCTCTGCCAATAGTTCTACAGACATATTATATGTATTTCTCAACACCATGAGCAACATGAGAACAGGAACTGTTACAACATCTTCATATGATCAACATCAAGCACCCAATAAAAATGCAGAAGGAGTTAAAAATTCGGGTAAGGGAAGGAGGGAAGATGAGAGGGGAAAGTAGAGAGGAAAGAGAGGAAAGGAGGACATTTCAAGTAAATGTCAAGCCTTCTGGATTTGTGTTGAAAAAGACTTAAAAAAAAAAATTCAATGCCTGCTAAACACACATTCAGTTTACGAAATATCCCTCCACCCAGTGTGTTTTTAGACATCATTTTTTTCCTTGTGAATAATTACAGTTTTTCTCAAATATGTGTTCTATTATTGTTTTATTTTAAATTATTATGGATATATATTTATGAAGTACATGTGACATTTTGATATAGGCATATAATGTATAATGATCAAATCAGGGTAACTGGGGTATCCATCACCTCAAGCTTTTGTCATTTCTTTGTTTTATGAATATTCCAGTTCTACTAGTTACTTAAAAATATACAAATTATTGATAACTGTAGTCACCCTAATGTGCTACCAGATACTAGATCTTACTCATTCTATCTAACTGTATTTTTGTGCCCGTTAACCAGCCCCACTTTATGTCCTGCTCCCTGCTATGCTTTTCAGCCTCTGGCAACTCTTATTGTACTCTCTTGTCCTCATGAGTTCAATTATTTTTAGCTCCCACACATGAGTGAGAACATGCAATATTTGTCTTTCTGTTGCTGGCTTATTTCATTTAACATAATGTCCTCCAGGTTCACCCACGTTACTGCAAATGACAGTATTTCATTCTTTTTTATGGCTGAATAATATCCATTGTGTATATATACCACATCTCTTTATCCATTCCTTCAACTGGTGGATACTTAGGTTCCTTCCGTATCTTAGTGAGTGTGAAAAGATATGTCTTATTATAAAGCAGTCACTGCTTTACACTGGGTGAAAGGGCAGTTAGTCTTCTAGTGATGGTCACTAGGAATCGATTATGTTTCTTTTAGGTTATTATACATTTTTTACCTTTTAGGAAGAAGGGATATACTGAAATGCTTTAGATATTTTATTTTGAAATCAAGTTTGCTAGTTACATCCACTGATCACAGAGTATTAACAAAACAAGTCTGCCAGTTAGATTTCTTTTTTAAAGTCTACGAACCTCTTATTCCTTACAAGACAACAGATGCCAGATGGATAAAAAAGTCAAAACACTAAAAACTGAACAATACACATTTGAGAAGAATGTGTGAATGAACTTATTTGTAATCACAGAGTGGGTCAGCCTTTGTAAGCAAAACACCAAACTCAAAAGCAGTAAAAGACTGATCAATTTGATTACATGAAAATTTAAAGCTTCAGAATGGCAAGTATTATAAACTAAAATGAAAGACCCACAAGAAACTCCCCAAAATGCATCTGCAACACCTGTGTCAAGAACTGTTCCTCAATTTATAAAAATATGATGTAACAGCACAAAAAGATGAAAAACCCAATGGAAAGATGAAAAATCGATACAAATAGCTCATTATCTGAAACATAAATATAAATGCTTAGTAAAGACATGAAAAGACAATAAATTTGAGGCCAGGCTCAGTGGTTCATGCCTATATTCCCAGCACTTTGGGAGGCCAAGGAGGGAGGATCACTTGATCCCAGGAGATCGAGATCAGCCTGGGCAATTTGGCAAACCCCATCTCTCCAGAAAAAAAAAAAAAAAAAAAGAAAAGAAAAGAAAAGAAAAGAAAGGAAAAAGCTAAGTGTAGTCCCAGCTACTCAGTAAGCTGAGGTGGGAAGATCACCTGAGCCTGGGAGGTTGAGGCTACAGTGAGCCAAGGCCATACCACTGCACTCCAGCCTGGGTGACAGAGTGAGACCTTGTCTCAAAAAAAAAAAAAAAGAAGAAGACAGACAATCACTTTCACTTATAATTAAAAAACTAAAAATTAAAATCACAAGATGCAATTCTTCTCCTATTGGCCTGTCAAAAATGTTCACATTTTGGTCATTCCTACAGCTGATTAAGAATGAGAATAAATGGGTGTTCTCATAGACCACTGACAGGAGTGTTAACTGCTGAGATATTTCTGGAAAGCTACTGGGCAATAACGGCTGAACACTTGAACGACATTAATTTTGACTTGATAATCTCAGTAACTCATTGTTTGTATTAGAAAACAACTAAAAGTTACCACAGTGCCCACCATCAGGAGACTGGTTAAGAAATCATGGTATATTCACGTAACGAAATAGAATGTAGTTAGTAAAAGTATATATATGTGCTTAAAATAATGTTCTTTGCAATGAATCTACTTTCTTAAGCTTAGAAATAAACTAATCTTAGAATCAAAATCTCACAGAAGATATGAAAAGACGTGTGTCAGCAAGATAAGAGAATAACCCAAGAAAAACAAAGTATGTGATCCAGGAAAATGAAATACAACCTAGTCTGTCAGTAAAGAGAAGTGTCAGGATGAAAGCTTTGTACCAGGCTTAGAGTATTTCCACCCAGAGTGGAATAGGTGGCTGCTGACTATGAGAAGGCATTCGAGAAAAAAAAAGAGTATTGACGTAAAAATTTTCTCCCATTCTGTAGGTTACCTGTTCACTCTGATGGTAGTTTCTTTTGCTGTGAAAAATGCTCATCATCACTGGTCATCAGAGAAATGCAAATCAAAACCACAATGAGATACCATCTCACGCCAGCTAGAATGGCGATCATTAAAAAGTCAGCAAACAACAGGTGCTGGAGAGGATGTGGAGAAATAGGAATGCTTTTACACTGTTAGTGGGAATGTAAACTGATTCAACCATTGTGGAAGACAGTGTGGCGATTCCTCAAGGATCTAGAACTAGAAATACCATTTGACCCAGCGATCCCATTACTGGATATACACCCAAAGGATTATAAATCATGCTACTATAAAGACACATGCACATGTATGCTTATTGTGGCACTATTCACAATAGCTGAGACTTGGAACCAACCCAAATGTCCGTCAATGATAGACTGGATTAAGAAAATGTGGCACATATATACCATGGAATATTATGCATCCATAAAAAAGGATGAGTTCATGTCCTTTGCAGGGGCATGGATGAGGCTGGAAACCATAATTCTCGGCAAACTATCTCAAGAACAGAAAACCAAACACTGCATGTTCTCACTCACAGGTGGGAACTGAACAATGAGAACACTTAGACACAGGGCGGGGAACATCACACACTGGGGTCTGTCGTGGGGTTGGGGGGGCAGAGGGAGGGAGAGCATTAGGATAAATACCTAATGTAAATGACGAGTTAATGGGTGCCGCAAACCAGCATGGCACATGTATACCTATGTATCAAACCTGCACATTGTACACATGTACCCTAGAACTTAAAGTATAATAATAATAAAAAAAAGATAGAGTATTGAAAATACACTGAGCTTTTGACTCAAAGGCATGTGAGATCCACTGTCACACTTGTAAAAATTTAAGAAGACAAAAAAACTAAATTATGAACAAATTACTGACTCCCAGAAAAACAGTCACAAGGAAAAGATTACTTTGCTCAACAGTGAATGAGAACCAAACTACGTAAAATAACTGCTGAAAAGGTAAGGGGAAGGGAAGAATAGCAAGATCTAAATCTCGAATTACCACAACATGAAGAAAATAAACCATATGTAAAGTTGATGAGCTGAGAAAGAGTAGAATATAGGTAATATTTTAGAAAATGACAGATAAAAAGGTCCTAAGCAAGAGCTAAAAGAGACGATCGTTTTTGCTTCTGGGGAGCCAGGCTGGGGAGTGGGAAGGAATGAGGCAGGAATAATCTTCTGTTACTAAAAACATAAATGAGAGCAAAACCATTCTGGGCCATTTTTCCTCAATGGCATCTGATCAAATATAGAACAATTTTAAATGTTTTCCTATAATAGCTCAAGGTGTGAAATATGTAATCTTAAAAGATGATTTTACTCAAGAGTTGATTTTATCCCTGAAAAACTTAAAATATTAAGCTACACTAATAACTTGGTCTACATTTTCCTCTTCTTCCTTCTTGAAAAAGAAAGATGAGCTTTCCTGCTCTCTAATCTCCCATTTATTAGATAAACTCCTACTCTTGCAAGCTTTTTATATTCTCAGAAGCTTCTGATGAATTCTGAAACTTAGTCACTGACCCCTGTATATAGGCCTTTTAAAGACCTCGTAGATACAAAGATATTTGTTCCGTGGTTCATCTTCAGCTACAAAATTAATTCCAGTAATTACCAAAAGATAATTGGCAACTGTAGCCCTTACAGCCAGCTATTTCTGGGGTGTTAAGGACTGACCAGGATGTTGTATTAGAGAATCCAGCTAGAAGTAAGAGGTAGAATCTAGTCTACACTTTTCCTGTTAACTAACTGAACTACCCACTTTAGCATACTTGACCTCTCTGGGCCAAAAATTTCTCACATGTAAGAGACCTGATCTACATTTTTAATTATAAAAGTAATCTACATTCTGGAAACTAAACGATTAAAAAACCTAATCATTTATAGTTTCAGCACCCTGAAAGAAGTACTGTCAAATTACTTTGGTAGGATTCCTTCCAGAATTGCTTATATATGTATTCTTGTAAAAATAAACAATAGCAGATACCAAAACATAATGTAAACCTGAATTTTTCAATTGCTGATATTAAATAGTCTTTGAAAGTATTTAATTTTACCATCATGTAGATATAGAGTAATACATTTTACCCATCAGCTACTGCGGTTGCTTCCAATGTTAAGTACTATAAACAGCACTGATATATTTTCCTTGGAGTTTTCATTTTTGCATATTCCTTTTGGCTATTCCCTTAACATTCTTAAATGAAAGGATAAACTACATTCTATGATTTTGTTAACCTATTGCCAAACTGCTCTTTGGAAAGGCTGAGACATTTTATATTCCCACCAGCCATATGTGATAATTAAATTTTCATGCACTCGAACCAATATATATTTTTTCAATTCTGAGCAATCTGATTTATAAAAGTAATATTGTACTTAATTGTAAATGTATTTGATTACTAGTCTAGATTTTATTTTAAAAAACACTTCTAGTTCTAAAATACTGATTGCTTTATGACTTACTTTACTACCAAATATAATAAGAAAATGTACTTGAAAAAATGGTTAGCACAGGTCTTGCATTTATAAAATTTTCTAAAATGCTACAACATTCTATAATCTTAACAGTGAATTAAATGTTAAAATTTCTGTTCTATAGAAACACCACATTTGTGTAGTTTTTCATGTTATTTTATAATTTATTTTCTTATACACTCTCTTATTAGAGATAGTTGAGAATGTAATTTTTTTAAAAAGAACATAAACTTAGACTCCTAGAGCTTAGAACTGAGATGTCATTCTGCCACTGCCAGTAATTAATAATTCATTTAATCTTTCTGAGCCTCTGCCTTTATCAATAAAAGTAGTAACAACGTATACTTCCCACAAATGTTGAATAACATAAGAACAGAGTTACCCTGTAAAACATCATGTACATTTAAAGTCTTGCTGTTATAACTATTACTATCCCTAATAGGAATTCCAAACAATTTTATGAAGTAAGTAGATCAGGCATTGTTCTGGTTTGAGGGTGAAGTTAATGTTTAAGTCAGAAACAGAGATGAGTTCTTTCGGCTCCTTTCCTGAAGTCCACTTCACTTTATCATGGCTGGACATAACAAGCTGATCCCATCTCCCTAAACATTTGCTTATTTTTTAAGAGGCATTTGACTTTTATTACTCTAATTAAAATCTGATTTTATTCATGAAATTATTTATCTTTACTTGGCCTGTATTAAGAGACAGGAGGTTTCTCTGAAAAGAGTACTACTAATCCACTCCACAAAAACATTAATCTTTAATTTTTTTTAAAAAAGGGCATACTATTAGAGAATGATGTATCTTTCCTTCTGAATATAATACTACTTTAATGTGTTGTATCTACTTTCTTTCTTCCAATACACACTCAAAATATTAAGTCATTCATAATTAAAGATAAATTGTTTTACACAGATTAAAGGACAAACCTGGAAGAATGCTGATTTACAAAGATGCACAGCCAATTATTTTGCATATTTCTATGATTTTACTAATTACAGCACTTCATAAGTTAAGTATGTACCAAAGTTTTTATCCAAAACGTCTATAACAAAAGACAAAGCCAATCCACCATACAGAACACTTACTTTTACTCGGTGATCATCTGTGTCTGCCACAGTTGCTACTCTAATAAACATGGGATTCCTTTTGTCTACGACCTCAAGCTTCATTTTTTTCTGGAATCCATGAGGAGGTTTCTGCCATAACAAAAAATTTTACACAGTGAGATAAAGAGGAAGAGAGAAGGTAAACTTGATGTTACAAAGAAGAAGAAGAAAAAGCTGGGCCGGGCACAGTGGCTCAAGCCTGTGATCCCAGCACTTTGGGAGGCCAAGATGGGCGGATCACGAGGTCAAAGATCGAGACCATCCCGGCTAACACGGTGAAATCCCATCTCTACTAAAAAATACAAAAAACTAGCCGGGCGAGGTGCAGGCGCCTGTAGTCCCAGCTACTCGGGAGGCTGAGGCAGGAGAATGGCATAAACCCGGGAGGCGGAGCTTGCAGTGAGCCGAGATCCGGCCACTGCACTCCAGCCTGGGCGACAGAGCCAGACTCTGTCTCAAAAAAAAAAAAAGAAAAGAAAAAGCTGGCCGGGCGGGCGCAGTGGTTCATGCCTGCAATCCCAGCACTTTGGAAGGCTGAGGCGGGTGGATCACTTGAGGCCAGGAGTTTGAGACCAGCCTGGCCAACATGGCTGAACCCTGTCTCTACTAAAAATACAAAAAGTAGCCAGATATGGTGGCATGCACCTGTAATCCCAGCTACTCGGGAGGCTGAGGCACAAGAATTGCTTTAGCCCAGGAGGTAGAGGTTACAGTGAGTCGAGATTGTGCCACTGCACTCCAGCCTGGGCAACAGAGGGAGACTGTCTCAAAAAATAAAAATTAAAAAAAGAAATAGCTGAGCTATTTAGAGAATGATGTCATAAAAGAAGACAGAAAAATTTTAAATGGTTAGAACTTGCTGTCATTTTTGAAATAAAGAAAGAAAATAAGAGAACCAGCCTTTCAAACTCTCAACTTCCCAGAGTAGCTCTGAACTTCACCCTGTCTGTCAAAAAATTCCAACACAGATGCACAAGCAAGGGAAATAGCAGAGTAAAATTCAAAATACTGTAGTTATTTGATTACTCAGAGGGAAGACAAGACATTTTTCTTATTAGTTGGAGGTGTACTGGCAAAAATCTATAAGCATAAAATTTGTCTTTAAAAAGAGAAAGGAAGAACATTAAAGTGGCTGAGATGAGACACCAAAATTAGAAGTGGTAATGGGGGAAAAAAGCAGAAGATATCTTTAAAACAGAAAATTAGCAATCAAACGTAAAGGACAGAACCAGGAATGGGTTGGGGGAATCAACAGCTACCTACGCCTCAGTACTCAGCAGAAACTTATAAGCCTCTGAAAAAGTCACAGACTGTGGAAGATAAGGTGATTGTTTGACATGATGTTAGGCAAATCAGTTAATTTTCTGAGCTTCAGGTCTCTCTTCTGTAAAGTGGGTATAAGTGTTGCTGGGCAGGATGCGGTGGCTCATGCCTGTAATCCACACTTTGGGAGGCCGAGGTGGGTGGACTGCTTGAGCTCAAGAGTTTGAGACAAGCCCAGGAAACATAGCAAAACCTCTTCTCTATGAAAAATACAAAAATTAGCCCAGCATGGTGGCATATGCCTATAGTCCCAACTACTCAAGAAGCTGAGGTGGGAAGATCACTTTAGCCCAGGAGGTGGAGGTTGCAGTGAGACGAGATGAGATCGTGGCACTGCACTCCAGCCTGGGCAACACAGTAAGACTCTGACTCAAGCAAACAACAAAAAAAGGGTTGCCATGAAAATTAAGTATGTTATGCAAATATCACAGAGCAGTCAATGCAAGACACCTAAAAGACCAAACTAGAGAAATCTGTTTTCTCTCTGTTGTGACACTAGATATGTAGGCTGATCCTAATGTAATTGTATTCATTTAAAGTGAAGTGTAATGCAGCTCTGCTTCGCATTAGACAAGAGTTTAAAGTTAAAGGGGGGGAAGGGAGCGTGGATAAAAATTCATAAATACGGCATAACTCTAAACAGTTTTCTTTTTTAAATCTTCAACTTGCTATCAGATGAAATCACACACATTTTTTGATATAGTTTCTCATCATGCCTTATGGTTTTGCTCTTAAAATTTTTTTATGTTCTTTCTTCTAAATTTGGACCTATACCTAATAATTAATTCTAACGTTAAAAATCCTAGCAATTTATACATAAAAGGATCACTTAAAGAAAATTATTTACCATAAGCTAATCATGACACATTTTAAAAAATAAACATTTGATATATTTTTCTTTTCCATTAAATTCATGAGAAATATAAATTATAAAGCAAGCTATTTGAGAAGAAAAAATAAGAAAGATGTTTCACTTCTTATTCCTTCTTTGCATAAAAATGAGGTTCATCTGAATCTTAATACTTTATATGCAAGAAGCAATGACCCTGGGTTAGAAAGATACTGTAATAAAAGCAGATGATCTTGCATTTTGGTAATTAAACATGCTGATCTATAGCAATAAAATAAAAAAAAAACCCCAGCATCTCAGCTTTCCATAAACAAATCCAAATAAATTATCAAATAGTTTTTATTGGAAAATTTTCATGTTCTGTTCTGATCTTTTAGAATATCTAGCTAAAAAGACAAGATTGCTATAACTGGCCCCACATAGTATTAAGTAGAATTATTTTCCAAGGAGACTTTAAAGTCCAAAATAAAAGCATTTTTTTGGATGACAACAACAAAAATCCCAATAACAATTTTGACTTTAAAAACTGTAAAAATTCAAAAACATCTTATTTGGTGCTCTATTTTTTTCTCATTCCTATTCTGGTTTACTAATACCACTTGTTTTGTTCTTAAATTTCAATAAATAAATGATCTCATCCACACAAATTAATCAAATAGTATAAAATGTATCATCTTACCACTTTGAAAGCTCTTGCAGGAGCAGGTAAAGAATTGGTTTCTTCTAAGTATTTATCCCAAGAAAAATGTTTCACATTTGGATAACCTATGAAAGAAAAATGTAAATCCTATGAGGTTTAACCAAAATGACAGCAAGAATACCAAATTGTCCAACAAAAAGTATAAAATATTATAATCTAGAAAATTATGTTCATATATACATGACAACTTTACTCACACATTCACAGCTATTAGTAATAATGAAATTGTTTTCATCTTGATCATTATTTTTCTATTACTTTTAAAATGAAAATTTTATAGATATATATAATTTATATTTTCAGATAAAGATAGTCTTACAAGACAGACACACAAATACCCTTTAGCAATTTTGTTTCTATGAATCTAGAAAAATCTGACATATGTAATAAAGACAACACACAATTGTTTGTAAATGTGAAAATTAAGTGAGTTAAATGACCTTCAATATACAAATATGCAAAGAAGTGTACATAAGCAGAAAGTACTTATTAAAAAGAACACGGTAGATTTATATCTATTAATATGTGAACAATTCCAGATATAACTTCATATTGTTAGTTCCAACAAACATGCACAAATGATGTAACATTATTCATAGAATGTGTAAAAATATCTTCTCCTTCCTCCTGCCCTCTTTTGTTCCCTCCAGGGCCCCAAATCCATTAGGTAGGCATGAGCAGGAATAAACAATGGTCCAGTATGATGGGAAATTAGCCACATAAAGGGAACTGAGAAAAGCAGCAAAGATAATGTTAGCCAGGTTTGAGGGAAACTGGAATGAAGCTGATGCGTTGGATTTGAATTGGAATTAATGGTATAAATTCACAGTTTTCAATATATGAATAGATACAGAAATAGACATAAATATACATTTTTGTATATATTTATACACATGTATTTCCTAGCTTTATTAGCTGAAAAGCCTGGAGACATCAACAATCTTGTAGTAAATAAGCACACTTAGCGTTCATATCTTAGTTTCTAAATATCATTCTCTACTAAAAAGAAGCATGGAACCTTGAAGAAATGGGTGACTCTTGGGTGGGGTCAGGGAAAGTATGAGATAAGCCTAGCTGTAGGGAAAGTATGAGATAAGCCTAGCTGTGCCAGAAAATAAGAAGTTCTCAAAAAATAAGAACATTTCAAAAGGACATTGAAATGTGCCTAAAGGGGTTATAACTGGTTAATATCTGAGAAAATCTGAATATGAAGATAATGCCAGCAATCGATTATAACTCACTGATAAAAATAGTAATCTATGGGTCTACCCTGATATAGATAAATTGAGCAAATGCATAGGAAGATAAGAAAAGCTATTCTTTGCAGGAAAATATCAACTAATTTTGTATAGGAAATGATGGAACAAGAAAAATTACAGTTTAACACTGTCAGAATAATATAATTCATGCTAGAAATGTCAACAGATGCTAAAACTAGCAAATGATATTGGGACGAGATACACAGTCTCAAAGTATCTCTCCAGAAAATACTTATTAGTTACAGAGAAAAAATAACTCCATTAGTGGACAAACCTAGCAAACACCATCTTGATCCATCAGTGGTAAAAGCAAACCAGTAAAGAGACAGATTGACATCATGAGCCACCTGAGAGAAGGCAATGAGAACACAGCACTACGTCTATGACATTCCCGCCAAAAAAGCGCAGCCTGCGTATGATCGTGAGGAAATACCAATCCGACTCAAATTAAGTAACATTCTACAAAATAACAGATCTGGAATCCTCAAACTTATTAAGGTCACAAAAGTCAAGGACAGCCTAATTAACAGAAGATGGAGGGATCTGACAACTAAGATCCTTTTGCTTGGAATGACATCACTAGGACAACTGGCAAACTTGACTGGGTCTCTGAGTCAGGGAAAAGATGAGTTCTGCACTGTTCTTGTAACCTTTCTGTACATTCAAAATTGTTTCAAAATAAAATGGTTAAAGAGTAAATATGCAGCCGGGCTCGGTGGTTCACGCCCGTAATCCCAGCATTTTGGGAGGCTGAGGCAGGCTCACGCCCGTAATCCCAGCATTTTGGGAGGCTGAGGCAGGCGGATCACACGCCAGGAGATCGAGACCATCCCGCTAACACGTGAAACCCCACTTCAATAAAAATAAAATAAAAATAAAATAAAATAAAATAAAATAAAATAAAATAAAATAAAATAAAATAAAAAATAGCCAGGCGTGGTAGCACAACTGAATTCGACTGAATTATAAACATCCAGGAAAGGAGATACATGGCTTGATTCTTTGCCTCACGTTAAGAAGTCGGTGGTAACGCCTTACACCACTCCTTCCAGGGTACGTAACCAGGAACCTGCTGTTGTTCACTGGTTCATTGTTAGTTAATCAGATCTCTGATCATGACCAAAAATGGTGGTACGGAAAGAAAGACTGATAACAAACTGGGAATTCTAAAGGGATCCTCACACCATGTTAGATGGTGATAGTGGCAAACAAGCAACTATGGCAATCACTGGCCACTATTATTTTGTAAGCCACAGGACAAAGGAAGGCGGAATACAAGAAATCTTCCAGGCAGCACAACATTTGGGGTCATGAAACCATTAATATCTTGCTTTGTTTTTTTTTTGTTTGTTTGTTTTTCTTGAAACACTGTCTTGTTCTGTTACCCAGACTGGAGCGCAGTGGCATAATCATAGCTGACTGCAGCCTCGAACTACTGCCTCAGCCTCACAAATAGCAGGGACTACAGGTGCATGCCACCTCACCTGACTGACTTTTAAAATTTTTTATAGAGACAGGGTCTCACTATGTTACCCAGGCTGGTCTTGAACTCCTGGGCTCAAGTGATCCTCCCACCAGAGCCTCCCAAAGTGCTGGGATTACAGGCGTGAGCCATAGGTGTCCAGCCAATACTTTGCTTTAACCCTTCATGATTTATGTCAATGCTATTGCACCTTCAAAATAGTACTGGAAATTAGTCAAGACAGAGGCTTTCCTCCCTTTAATATATGAGAAAACTCGGGGAGTAGATAGGACTTGACTTGCCTATTACAGGAATGACTGGTCCTCCTGAGTGAGTAAATGATCAGACACTCTACGTGAGATGAAACCAGCTGTTCCAATAGAATTTGAAGCTCTCCAATCTTCCAGCTTACATGCTGCAGGCTACATTCAAAAACAGCTCCTAGTAAACCCAGGACTCACCCTCTCTCTGCGATGAAGGCAGTCTTCATTACTCCTGTAAGTGTCCACTAAGCAATCGCCTACTGCGCAGGGATATTTTCTGTTTGATGACCCTGTCTTTTCATACCAGGAGTGGCCATGGCACCTTAAGTAGTGATGTACTCAGAAATACACTGTCTTGATTATGAAGAAGACACAGAATCTGTTCTTTTGTTTGTGCTTTTTTTTTTTTCTTTTTTTTTTGAGACAGAGTCTCGCTCTGTCGCCCAGGCCGGAGTGCAGTGGTGCGATCTCTGCTCACTGCAAGCTCCACCTCTTGGGTTCACGCCATTCTCCTGCCTCGGCCTCCCGAGTAGCTGGGAGGCCACCATGCCCAGCTAATATTTTGCATTTTTAGTAGAGACAGGGTTTCACCATGTTAGCCAGGATGGTCTCATTCTCCTGACCTGGTGATTTGCCCGCCTAGGCCTCCCAAATTGCTGGGATTACAGGCGTCAGCCACTGCGCCCGGCCCAGAATCTGTCCTTTAGCACACAAAAGAAACTCAAAATGATATAAAACAAGGACACTGTTTATCAGCAGTTACACTGTTCCCTGTTAAAGAGACAGCAAATGAGCTGAGAAGGCTCTATGGCCAGAGGCAGACAGCAGAAGCGCCTGAAAACTTCAGAGAACACAGAGGCACTACTGGCATGAAGGTGCAAAATCTATTTTAGAACCAGGAATCATGACGGAAAAAGGAAAAGTGAGCGTGTGAGTTATAAACTAAGTAAAAAAAATCTAAAGCCTCAATTTCTCACTTAAATGTGAACATCGTACTTCTGTGAGGACTGATGCTGACATGAAGTCTGTTCTCCAATATACACAGAACTGCTATCCCTCTTATCCATTTTTCTGGACTTGTTCAAGCATTAGACAATTTGCTTCTATGGTTAGACAATATATTTAAATATATACTAATATAAAGTCTAGAAATGAATTTCAAGTTGAGAAGTGAAAGATCTTTTAAAACAGAACTTATTTTTTTTTCCAAGAAAGACAAAATTTGAGACTCTGTTATGAACTAAGGCAATACTTAACATAGTTGAAAGTACATCGGGGTGAGCAAACACCTGCAGGTCGGCTGCCTGTTTTTGTAAATAAACTGTTACTGCAACACACCCACGCACAATGGTTTACCTATTGTCTATGGCTGTTTTTGCACTACAATTGTTTTGAGTAGTGGTGACAGAAACTGCATGGTCTGCAAAGCCAAAATATTTACTATCTGGCCCTTTACCGAAAAAGTCTGCCTACTCTAGAAGTCTATGAATAGTATTAGACACATTAAAAAACACACACCTGGTGGAGTAATAAGGGTTCTTCTATGTTCTTTACACCAACCAACTGGATGAATGTGTGGACTGGATGCTTCACACCTGTAAGTTATACAAGTTAAAAAAACTGCAATTATCAGGATAAACTCACAAAAACTAGTAAAATAAAAAGAAAATTAGAGATCATGAACACTTTACAGAGAGTTTATTTATTTCAATCAATCTAATTTGGAAAAAAATGCTAAACCAAAGAACTTTTTAATATATTAATATCAAGCGGATTTTTATTAGATAAATATTATACAGATTTGACACCATGCAATTTTCTTTTCCCCACAAATTTTGTTATATCCAGTAACTTCAACTACAGCAAAAATGCAAACATAATATCATTAAAATCTATGATTTAGATTCATTAAAATCATGTGGAACAATAAACTTAGACTGTGTGTACACAGGCAAACCAAAATTATTTCAACATCACTAAGGGTAAATGTACAAAGGCAGGGAGTGTGATCATCCTTAATGACCAACATGTTATTTCTGTTACCCATTAGAATAACAGAGACCAGGAATAAAGACAAACTATTACTCTCTTTTCTTTACCTCTTTTTTCTCCTTTCTGTCATCTCTATTACAGTCAAGCATCTATTTTTCTAAAGTCTCTTTATCAGCATGCGTACCTGGTACATCTAATTCCTTGCTCCTACTCACACTTTTGCTATGTTTTCCTCTTCTCAACATGCAACATGTTTCAGCCTGTTAACATCATATGGAACCCGAGTGTTCTGCAGAACACAGTCTGGAAAATGTTGGTCTAAAAGATGCCAGGAGTCCAGTCTTGCTATATTAACTAGGAGGGCTGTTGAGTCTATACTGAGATCAGGAAATCTCAACACAGCCCTCTTGATGGGAAACTAGAAGGCAGAAAGCCAGGAAGGTAATGGTGTGGCTGGAGTTTCTAGGGAAGAAGGAAGTCTTATGAACAGCGAAACAAAGAATTTTCTACAAAATGTCCTAAGTGGGTGAGATTAGCACACAGTCAAGCAAGCCAGCCTTTCTCAAGGCATAGCCTGGGACAATAATACATGGTGAGTTCACGCAACCACTACTGAATGCTGATTGTTCTCAGAACTCACTTTAGTAGAAAACACCTTTTTCTTAATACTTAAAGGCTTCTTCCTTTATTCACTTGTTATCTCATACTGTCCCTACCACAAACTATTTTTCTTGTCATTATTTTAGGAATATGAAAAGAAAACAAGCACTGCTGGGTCAATGCCAAGTTCATGCTGCAATCACTATATTTCTTACAATATGCATTTTCATGGAAGATACTTTAATACACAATTCATTAAGATGCACTTTTATAAATCATACAAACAAGGCTTTGGAGCTCTATTTCCAGATACCACAGTGTTTTCCTCAAAAAATCATTTTGGTTATGGATTATTACTAATGTCTTACTGTCTTTATTTTAGGAAAGGATGTTAATTCATAGGTGGCATCATAAAAAATGAAAATATACAATATTTGTTTGATTTTTTTCCTTCTCAATCTAATATAACTTAGAGAGTAGTTTTTATAATTATCTGCCGGACTCACAGTGTTTATTTTAAAGTAGAAACACTGAACATGACTCTTTTGATTTTACTGCATATACAAATTGCAATTAAGGAAAATATTGTGGCCTCTTAATAGTCACTCATTCTTGTACTATCTCAATCTAATATAAAGTTTAAATAATATCCAGATATTGATCAAAGTCACCACTTAAAACAAAGAAACTGTCTCAATAGAGAAGATAAAAATATTACTGTTTTTATCTATTTTACTTATATTTTCTTAATAAGTAAACAACACTTCACTCAAAAGTTGGAAGGCTGTGATAGCCTTTCTGCTACTATTGTAAAACAAGTCATCTCTTAGTCCCATCTAGTGTTCAAAAGTAGAAATGTAACTGAGAAGAAATATGAAGAACAACTAAAGGTAGAAAGTATGACAAAACATTGATTGCTATACTCTTCCTTTCTTTTTGGTTTTTATGCATATCGTGAAAGAAGTTCATTTCAAAATTTTTGAAGTACATTTCACATATAAATGCAAATTATTCATAATGACTGGTAAGACCCAATGAGACTGAGACAGTAAATTCTCAAAGGGCCAGAAACCAAAGAAATAACTTATTTTTAAAAAATCCATGCTTACGATATAAGGATAAAGTTAGGAGACATGAAGATCCTCATTTTACGGAAATCAAAGAGGTTAAGTGATTTCACCAAGCACTTGGGTAGAAAAGAAAGGGATTCTGGTTTTGTCAGTCACAGCCAAAAGTTAAGCAAAAACTAATGTACACACGCTGAGCTCTGCAGTTTCAGACAGAGTCAAAGGAGAACATTGCAAGATGCTTACTTATGGAAAACATCAAAGTCTCTCCATTAAGCAACAGTGGTTTAGATTATTTGAAGAAATACAGGACACTTGGCTTCTCCACTGCCTATAACCCAGAACATGATGACTCTGCCAATTTATTACCCAGTACCCAACTCTCCTGGCTCCCCTTACATGTGAACTCTTCAGGGCCTCCACTACTCTGCACTTTACTACCAAACCCCAAACCTCATCAGCCTGAGTCATCAAGTGATCCTTTCCATCCCTAATTCATGTTCAATTCTATTACCCACAGTAGCTGTTTGAAATATTATTAATTTGCGTCAAGTTTAAAATCTTTCATTAACACAACGAATACTTGGAAGAGATAAAGGTGATAGCATCTCATCACCCTCGTATCAAATTTTCCTTTTACTTCTTCTTTTTCTCCAGGATGAGGGGAAAAGGAGGGGAAAAGAAAGTTTATTTCTTCCTTAGGCTAGCTCCTCCTAGGAGACCTGGTCCCACCAATAACCCATAGTTTCAGAAATCTCCACTCTCTCCCTCCACAGTGGCCTCCTGCCTTCTACCTAAAAACCAAGCTCAAAAATGCTCATGGTGCAGGGAACCCTCCTTAGAAGTCAAGGTGACTTCCTCTTAAGCAGTGATTCATTTGCCTTCAGCACTAAACTTCTCTGCTTAATATCCCTTATCGCTCTTCAACCTTTTGCAAGTCAGTTTCTGTTCCTAAAACTCTTATTTTAATCCCCACGACACCTGATGGGACAGGTATTATTATTAATCCCTTTCAGAAGACAACTGAAGTTTAAAAGTGTTAAGTAATGCACTGAATAAACTGGCTGCCATTACCCAAACACATTCTACCCCTGGGCCGAAACACAAGCAAGTGCTTTCCTTAGCCAAGAATATTCCATCCCAACCTCCAAGTACCCAGTCCTTCTTGGTCAAGTTCAAATCCCCGTTTCCTCTAAGAAGCCCTCCCCAAGAGCCCTCCAGCGAGCTTGAGTCAGTCCTTCCCTCCAAGTGCCATCACCCTCCCAAGTGCCATCACCCCTCCAAGTGCCATCACCCCTCCAAGTGCCATAATGATATGCAGGCCATCACACAGGCATCGGGGAAGGCAGGATTAGGGTCTTAATAGGTGTATCACCCTCCCAAAGTACCACTCCCCCTCAGGTGTATCATGCATCGGTGTCGCATCCAGTGGTTGGATTTCCCAAAGAATAGCACCTAACCACCATCTAACCCCAAGTGCCATCACCCCTCCAAGTGCCATCACCCCTCCAAGTGCCATCACCCCTCCAAGTGGTTGGTTCTAAAAATTAAGCACTAACCACCATCTAACCCTGCAGCCAAGACAGTGGTGTTTAGTTTCTACCCTTCCCCAGACCGTGAGACCCTCAGAGCTGAAGTTCAGAACAGCCCAGGTTCCATTCATCTCCACGACCTTCCCATCACCACCACCAACCAGAGCTTCCCAAATTTAACCAAATAGTGACAAGCCTATTAACTGACACTGCTCTAAGTAACTGACAACTTTTCAACATTTTAGGGAGACACAAAAAATTACTATTGCTCTTAATCTGTAAATGTAAAAGAGATTCATCTCTTAAAAAAAAAAAGTTTACACTACACTTACGGGCAATAAGGAAAAGGCCCACTGCTATATTTGTTCTAATTCACTAACAACGCTTTTCTTTTTCATAGGTCTTTTTGTTGCTAATTTTTGCCCTGACTCCACTGGGACAACCAAAGTACAATGGAATCAAAAATCGCTGAAGCTGCAACCTCATTCATTTAGGCCTTCTACTAAACAATGGGCCAAATCCTGTTGTCAATCCTTCCCGGATCCCAAAAGATAAGGGTACATGAAAACAATATTTTTTAAAAGAAAGGTTCCTTCCTAGTGCCTGGAAGAAAAGAGGAGGTGACTGTTCTCATTGTGTTCTGCCCCAGAGCCCAACCTTCAGGCAGCGAGAAGAGAATCAGGAAAGAGGATGCAGTGGTGGGAGGGCAGTCGTACCCTGGAGGTACTCTCCCCATGGTACTGACTACCTTCCTGGGTCCCTAAAGTCCTTTCTAGTGCCAATATTCTATTATATCTAGGATTATTCCTAAATCTAACCAACTGTTAAGGAGATAGAATCGAACAGTTACCAACTATCAGTAACAAAAGCACAGAAGAAACCCAGAGGTAAAGCCATTTTTATTCTAGTATATGCTATTTTCCTTTCATAGAAGACTACTTTTTTCATCCTACATACATTTTTATCATGTTCCTCTTTGGAAGTTAGAAATGTTTTATTGCAACTAAACATATAGTAACACAAATGTATACAGACACATATATATTTTCAAATTCCCACTAATGTAAACAAGAGATATAGAATTACTATTCAATTCAAAGCACAAAATATCTCATTTCCAAACTATTTTAAATTGGGAAAGGCAATCCAATCTGTAACCTCAATTACATACCTAAGTAATTTATGCAGATAAAAACCATTCCAAAATTCAAAGATCAAAGAGCATAATATTTAGTAAAAGTAGAGAAATTCCAGAGCACTTAAGCAATTTCCACTGTGCCTTAACTGCATGTTGAGGAAGAGAACACACTGTTTTCGTTTTCAGACAATTAACAAAATATGATTCCGTGTCAGTAGCTGGAAGTCTAAGTAATCCTCAAAGTACATTCCATCCTAAAAATAATTAGTTTGTCCTCATAAAAGCACAAAACTCAAGTTAAAAGAGATCAATTTTTTTCTTTTCTTTGTATTTTTAGAACCCAGGATCTTTTTAGAACCCAGGATCTTTTCTAGAACCCAGGATCTTTCCTGTTTGTTTCCTAGACGTTTGGCATTGAAAAATGAATGTGGCGAGTTCTTCTAGACTCTCCCCTTACTTTTTCCACAATAATGTTTTCAAAGGCAATGCATCTTACGTCAAATCGGCAACTTATACCTTTAAAACACTGTAATACTTATGAGACCACAAAAATTAAACTGACATTCACCTATTTTGTTTAAATCAGGCAAAAGCTTTAAAAAAATTCTCCCCCAATAAACCACAACTTTAAAAACAAAATATTCTCATTTCAACAGATTCTAGTTATTGTTTTAGCATCATTTATTAAGAAAAGGCCTGGAGCCCAGTTATCACCCCAGTAGTGCCATCATCACAGTCCACCAAGCACAGAAGGAGACAAACAGGTTTGATTCAGGACAGATTTAGACTATTTCCAAAGTTAAAGTTTTCTCATGCACTCACCCATTCAAAATAGGTATAGAAATTTTTTTTTGTTTTCGAAATTTTTGTGTAGAGTCAGGGGTCTCGGTATGTTGACCAGGTTGGTCTCAAACTCCTGGGTTCAAGTGATCTCCCACCTTGGCCTCCTAAATTACTGGGATTACAGACATAAGCCACCGTGCAGGCCCGACAATTTTAAATAAAACCAAAAGCACCAATTTATAGTAAATAGGAGGAACAGAAGAACACAGTAAATAAGATGAGGTTTCAATCAGGAAATCAAACTGGGAGACTCAACAGCACAAACAACCTGATGTCTTTAACAAAAGCCACAATCAATGAGGAAGAAAGGAGAGAAATAGGCATCTGTAAATCAAACGAGGTCAAGCAAGGCAATCACAAAGTGTATACCTTATGGGACCTAAAACCATCAAGCTAAAAACAAAAAAAAACTCACTGAAACAACTGGAAGAAATATTTAAGTATGTTAGTAATATCATGGTTATTATTATTTTTAAAAAAATAAAACTAATTCCTCTCTTTAGAAGATACATACTAAAATGTTCTAATATCTGTAATTGATTTCAAAACAATCCCAGAGTTGGGATTTGAGGAGTAGGAATACAGAGGAAACATACTGGACATAAGTCGATAATTGTTGGTGCTGAGTAAAGGCTGCAGTAGGGCTGCTCTATTATTCTACTTTTGTATATGTTAGAAATTGACTGTATTTCAATGAAAAACTTTTATTATAAACTGAATATAAAGATGTCCTATGAGGAAAAATTATGCTCTGCAGAGAAAAGCTGGGGAAAACAAACAAAATACTCGAAAGCACAGTCATTCCTTGGTGTCAGCAGGAGATGGTTCCAGAAGCCCCTCTGGACACCAATATCTAAGGATGTTCAAGTCCCTTTTATAAAATGGCATAGTAATTGCATATAATCTACACACAACCTTCTGTTTACTTTATCTCCCATATACTATAAATCATTTCTAGATTACTTATCATATCTAATACAATGTAAATGCTATGAAAATAATTGTTATACTGTATATTTTTATTTGTATTATTTTTATTATTGCATTGTTATTTTTCTTTTTTTCATATTTTTGATCTGCGGTTGGTTGAATCGTGGATGTGCAACCCACAGATACAGAAGGCCAATTGTACTTGGGTCTGTGTAATCTAATCATGGAACTAATTGTCTACATTTTTAAAAAATTCTGCAAAAAGCGTAGGTAACACATAATGTAAAGCATTTCAAAAATATGAATAGCAAATGAATTTTAACATCTCTTCTTTTTTAAACAATGCAAGTAAAACTTATGAGTATCCAAGAATCCCATCTGAGAAGTAATGGAAATTATCGATGTGTCTACTGAATGTTTAAATACACGGATGCTAAAAAATAAGGTCAAAAAACAACACTTTCCCCTGACATTTAGCAATATTTACATAAGTTAATATTCACTTATCCTATAACATGAGCTGTATTTTATATAAATATATCTGTTACTTCTCTAAAATGTTCTCAATTCAAGTGTACTCTAGAAGGAACTAAACACTTTAGAAATGCCTTTTACCAGGAAATTGAATTACAGCAATCAATGAACATGAATTTGTTATGAAAAATCCTCCAACTATTTAATCAAAATAGAATGGCTTTATTATAATTATTTTATAATTACATAATTGTAAAATATGTTGCTTTTACTACTTTGTGCAGGATATCCAAAAACTGCAAGGATTAAAAATAATATTCTTCAATATATTTTGCAGTCAGCTATTATGAATGTTTAAATTAGCTGGTGGGCATGAAAATAAGAAGGGAAGATTAAAATACGTGTGAACATATGTCGGGAATGTGGAGTGTGCAGACTGCACTTCCATAGTAGGAAGTCAACTAAAATACCAATCATAAAGTAGAATTAAAGGATGCTATTTAAAATATATCCCACATGGAACAGGTAAAAAATTAAAAATCTCTAATAGGAAAAAATGGGGCAAAATATTGGGTTTTTTTTTGTTATAAGCTTTGCATTATTACTGTTTTTAAACCGTTTACTTGGATAAACATTAAATTTTTAAAAGCACACAACGGAAAATGTCTCACCAATAGTCATAGCTCTCATCCCAGTTGTCAAAATGTACCAGGAAACGATTGTCCACCATATCTGTTACCGTAGCAACACAGATGAATGAGGGATTCTTTTTGTCTACTGCCTCAAGCTTCATACCAACTCGAAAGCCCGATGGGATCACTGTCTATGGAAACACACAGATTTAATTAGAGATAAGCACACACTTAACAACCGCAAGAACTGCACACTCTCTGCACCTCCTGCTCAAAGGCCCAGCATCCACTGCTGTATTCACATAATTTAAAAATCATATGCCAGTTTCACAGCAGGGTCGCTTTCCAACAAGCAGCAATAAAAAAATAAAAATGCCCTACTGCTACACCCAATTAGCTATCTGGGCCTCAAAATGAAAATATCCATCACCTCACAGAGTTTAAAATAATTAATTTTAACATGTGTTTTGATGCCTTAATTAGAAAACTATAATAGGTAGGCAAGTTTTATTCACCATACAGTTCATATTTTGTCCTTCTTTTCTTGATTACAGACTTAACAATGAAAATTATTCACATAAAATATGCATTTAATCAAGTTAAAAATGTGCATGAGTCAGTACAAATTCACTCCCACTTCTGAAAATCTCTCTCATAAGAGTACTCTACCGAAAGTAGGTCATCTTCATATATGAAAGGCTGCATATTATTACAACTTTTACTCAACACTACAGATACATTTTATTCCTAATAGCAGCAAAAAGAATTGGCTGTTGATGCACACAGCTATTCAAAATAGTTGGTAACTTAAAGAAATCCACAGATAATCAGTCATTCAGAACATGGAACACAAACAACAAAAGTTCTGTAAGAGTTAGTGCTTGAGGTTCAGTAATATATAAACATCTCTTACAATCTTTTGTGAGGAATAATATCTTTATCTGTCTTACATATATATTTATATATGTACACACATATATGTAGAGAATTAAATGTCTTCATTCTAGGGCTCAGAACCAAGCTTGTCTGCAGATATATAGTATACCTAGATACCAATGATGCCAATCACGACACACTACAAGTCATTCCTTCCCTTTAAAAAAAAAAAAAAAAAAACCTCTGTTCAGACTCAATTATACAGATATTATTCTAACCACTTGGGCAAGATAGATGCTATCTCTCATTTTAATATGATTATACAACCATCATTGTAAAAACGTAGACAGCCGTGTATCTGAAAAGGTTAGAATAAGTTGTGTCTGAACGGATGGAACAGGCACTAATGCTATACAGAAGTTTTTACTAAGGATCTAAGTACTGAAATTTATCCAAGTTCTGACCATAAATGTTTGAGTATTCTGAGGTAGAGGAATCTAGAAGTGGAAAAAGTGTCTCTTAGATACGAAATGGAGAGCCCAAGAGTAAGTTGTATGCTAGCAATGCATAGAATTTAGGAAGACGGTTCAAGGCAGTTCATCAAATCCCTGACCGAAGTCATCATCAGAGAACCAGACAGGGATTCGGAAACTTGAAGCAGAGACACCAGGCTGCTAAGTCTTACACCGAACTGACCTTCCTCCCTGGGATAAATTTTGACAGGGAATACCAACTGACAAGGCACTGTTACACTTTGGCAATTACACTACCCTCTCAATTAAGATGTTTTAAAATAATAAGCTGGCCCATTAACACTATTAGTAACCTAAACACACACACACGCATGCACACAAACACAATTTGTCAGTTCTCTAATTCAACCTGGTTTGCGTTTGATTAAATCAGAGAACATTTCAGCCATTAGATTGATGCTCTCAAACCAACTGGTTAATAGTGTTTCCCAAATGGAGGATTTTTGGAGTGAGGAGGTTTCTCCTGCCCTTGATATTTATTTATTTCCATTTGCAGGGAATGCTGTTAGTGAAACATTACTGCTTCTCTCCACTGTCTCACTCACTGCTACCTGCCTGGTGACTCTGGGAAGCAGGAACTGATCACACTAGAGAGAAAGCTGAGCTGCAGGGTGCACAGCTTCCACTCTGCTCTTCAAGAATCCAGTGTTCCCTGGGCTTGGGGGATGGGGGTGAAAGGAGAATGAAATCTCTTCAATTCTAGGGCTCAGAATCAAGCTTATTTGTCTGCAGATACAAGCCATGCACGTCCTCCAACTTAGCTCTGACCATTTGTAAAGATGGCATTTTGGTTTTCCACTGGCTTGCCCTTTATTCTTTCCCATTAGATCAGAACTTGGGAAAAGAAAAATGTCATGGATCAAGTCTGCCAATGGAGGAACATGTTGTAGAAAGTGGGAATACAGGTCAAGAAGTAGAAAAGACACACACATCCAGATTTTGCTTTTGTTTACTGTAAACAAAGCTATAAACTACAGTGAAAATACATCACAGTCTCCAGTGACCTCCTACATGTAAACTGAAACAGGGCTACCTTCATCTAGCTATGTGAATTCCATTTGAAGAGCACTCCCATATAAGTGATAATAACAATAAAATATCTCAGCCAATTTAGTTTTTTATGCATCTTAATTGTAAATCTCACCTGAATCTTATACTACCTTGTCTTCTACTGTGCAATAAAAGAGACAACCATAATATGGCTATAAAACATATTTATTCATGAAGATTTTAAGCTAATTTTAAACTTTAATTAAGATAAGAGTACTCTATTTACCAAGGCAATATAATTTATTATAGTTCCTTGTTATCACTTGTAACTGATCCTATGAGACATTCAAAAATCTTCTTCCTTTGAAAGAAAACGTGCTTTGCATGTACTTACTATATTCTGATTTTCAAATAATGACTTAGGAGCAGCTTGAGCTTTACATGTCTTAAGATAGGTCTGCCAATTGAATTCTTCTTCTTTATACCCTAGAGTAAGCACATATGAACAGATTGATTCAAATATCAAAATATTTTACACTTAGTTTTCCAGTCCCACTTTTATCTCTAACTCTAACATACCAAAATCAATCAAATGACTTTTTAAATAAACAAAATTTAACTCATAATTCATAACTATGTATATTTAGACTATGTTTATTTTCAACAAACTGTATTATTATTTTCTAATTCTGAATGAAAGGTAATGGATATAAAGAAAAGGAATAAGGAAACAAATACGTATTATACCCAGGGCACTTATTATCAGGGTATTTCTACCAGTATTTGGGTAGAATTCCTCAGCAGTATAGATGCTGAACTAGAGTAGTCAAAATTCTTTATTTTTCTCTCACCTTGTCTATTTTGGGAAGACTAACTTACAGGAACAAGCGGGAAGTTGGAAATAATAGAAATGAAACAGGTAAAATCTTTTTGGCCTATCACTTCAAAAAGGATAATTAAAGGTTTATGAAGTAAGGATGCTGGCAAATTACAGTAAGGGAAATGTCCTCCCTTAATTGTTACAATTTCATTGAAGCTTTTCTTTTAAAAAGGAAATTGAGCATCTTATTTTATCTGCGAATATGCTTTCTTTTACATTCATTAAAGTCCAGAAGGCAGCATGAAAAAAACAGCTAATAATTTACCATATATAAGAGATCAATTCGTGAAAAGGCTTACAGATTTTCTTTCTCACCCTCATCTTTTCTATGCGATTTTGTTTAATCCTTCAGCTATCTGAAAATACCACTCTGCCATTATTTTTTCACTTAAAGGGACGGCTAACGCACTGAAGTCCTGAGATAGGCCAAAAATATCAACCGAGTAACCTTAATTTTTGACATAAAGTAAACAAAAATAAATGTAATGACTGAAAAAGAAGGGAATAAGATATTACTAAATATGGCCGAGCACAGTGGCTTACACCTGTAATCCCAGCACTTCGAGAGGCTGAGGTGGGCAGATCACTTGATGCCAGAAGTTTGAGACCAGCCTGGCCAACAGGTGAAGCTCTTGCTCTAATAAAAACACAAAAATTAGCCAGGCATGATGGCAGGTGCCTGTAATCCCCGCTACTCGGGAGGCTGAGGTAGGAGAATCACTTGAACCTGGGAGGCAGTGGCTGCAGTGAGCCAGTATCACACCACAGCACTCCAATCTGGGTGACAGAGCAAGATTCCATCTCAAAAAAAAAATTAAGGAATACTTTAGGGAGACAGTGAAAAAGATGATATCTGTTATTCTTGAACTTTGATGTAAACATGAAATGGGAAGATCACTGGGGGCTATAACATAAAGAACTCAAATAGAAGAAAAGTAATTGCTATGAGTTCAACCCCCCACCTAAGCCAATTTTTAGCGTTACAATCTTCTTGCCGATCTCCTGAATATTAAGATCTATATGGTCATGCATAATTTCTCAGGATTTTCTATATAATGAAAAACTGATTTGAAAAATTAGTTTAAACCAGTTTACACTAAACTTAGTTATGTAAACTAATTTAAACTAATTTTTCAAATCAGTTTTTTCAAAGATACATGTATTTAATAATAGAAATTTGCAGGTAAACATTATTTGCAGCCAAAGTTGAGTATCATGCAAATGTCATTTTACATGAAAATAAGCATATGAACATACTTTATTTTCTTAAGTTGGAGTCTACTTTTATTTATTTTACTTTAATAAATGTGGTTTCATCATGAATAATAAGGTTAAATTTGCACCTATCTGAATTTTCATAAAGTCCGAATTTGTAACAATTTTAACGTAGCATATAAGAAAATGAGTTTTTACTGAATTTAAAATATAAAACAAAATGTGACAAAACCTTTTGGAGGATGGAGTTTGTGGCCAGTTTTCTCACACCACCCAACTGGGTGGATATCCAGAGCGTCTGCATTCACCCAGAAGTCATAGCAATCAGAATACCCATCAAAGTGAAGCTTTATCCGGTATCCACAAACCTGAAACAGGTAAAACAGGTTGAACTGTTTTTTTTTTAATCCAGAATATTCATATATATATATACAAAAATAAACATGGAGACCAGGCATGATACAGTCTTAATGTTAATCAAACTACCCACATTAACAGCAATAAAACAAGTAAACAAATATCCAGAATCTAAAGACAAAAGCTATTACATTGGGAAGAGCTGAGCTGTGGCATTCTGGCAACATTCTCAGTTACATTACGAGCACACGGATAGGGGACAAAGCATAATATCCCAAAAGTGCAGGTCCTTTCTCCACTCCCTGTGTTGTACCAGGATGTGTCCCCGAGGTAAGCTGGAAGGCACACCAGCACAGCACACTCAGCTCTAGCATGGCCCCAAAGTGGATGCTCTGCCCTGCACTGAATGCTGCAGACCACAGCTGGTGCATAAGCACAGAAGTCAAGCATTTCTTCTCCACCCAAGCTGGGCTGGAAGGAAGAAAGAAAAGCATCTCTCCTGGTTTATTACTTGGATGAGACAGGCTCCTAAGAATGCTAGTAAGAATGTACTCTGTATAACACATGCCGTACATATGCCTACAGGGCCCCACTTAGGGACATTCTGAGTTAGAAGGTCATATAGGCTTATGAGACCTGAGCCGGATCATGCCCTCCCCTGGGCTTTCAGAGAGAAGGTTCAGCCCCTCGGACTTCTTCCCACTAGTACAAGCAGATGTGTTCAGGTAGAAACACATACCACACCAGGCCTCTACCCGCTCCGTGAGCATCTGTCCTGCAGAACCCTGAATGATGGACTTAGACCAGAGTGCAGAGCCAGGACAATCAATCCTCAAATAGTGAGGCAGCTGTACAGTTACTGTCATGGCAAGTTCTCTAAAATATATTGCTAAAATTCAACTGGCAGAATGCATAACAGAGAATGAGTTAGTTTATGAGAAAATAGACATGTGGGGGTCCACATGTATATTTATGGGTATGTGATTATGTATACATATATGTACTGTGTGTATACATATATAAGTATATGCATTTATATACATACATTAATATACACACATATGCATATATACATAAACACACAGTAAAAAGAAGTCTGGATGAATATTTGCCGAAATGTTAATAATGATTTCTTCTAGGAAGTGGTAGTAAAAAGGAAAGGGCAAAATGGAAACGATGGACTTTTAATATTTTCTCTTATATATCAGTATTTTTTCAATTAAAATGCATTGATACACCACATACATAAAATTTACAACTAAGCTGACTCCCCCTAAAGAGAACAGTCTCTCCACAGAACTCAGACTGGAATCCTTGGGAAATACAATCTCTCAAGAAAGGCAGGAGATACCGCCACTCCCTGCAGCCACCTCATTCAAAGAAGGTTGCTTCTCTCCTCTGACTCACAGTCAGCTGTCTCTGGCTGATCCTAAGAGCTCAGCCCTTCAGTAACTTACAGCCTCTAGTTCCTCGTGGGCACACAGTTCTGAGCTTCTGCTCCCTTGAGCCAAGCTCTCTGTTCTCCCCACAGTCTCTATCTCAGGCTCACTGGAAAGTTATGCTTTGAGAAACAATCTCCCACATCCTCACCCTCCTTGCCCACAGTCATACCTAGCTCGTCCTTCTCAAACCTTTCCCCAAGGCTGCTCATGTTCCCAACTCTACCTCCTGCAGACACAGGAGGTGTTGCTGCGTCCCACCACACCATGGATCCTAGGCCAGTTCTCCTCTGAGGCTCGAGCCACATGCCTGAAGCAACTCTCCTCCTCTTCTTCGCCCATGCTAACCACCCAAACACTTAGCCCTGGCTTATTCTTTTCCTTTCCATCTGAGTACTTTCATCATCCATACGGATGACTTATCCAATACCCTGGCGTTTTGGCTCCCTTCCTCTCTACTTCAAGCCCTCACTCCTATGAATCTAGTCCCCAGAAAGAACTGCTCTGCTTCTTAGTATTACATTTAAAAATCCAACCCTGGGACACAAACTCCTATTCCAGTCTGTGAACCCAGTTACCCCCAGCATGCCTCTTCCTCAATCTCAACAGAAACTCTAATCTCACACTGATCCCTCTACTTCCTCCCTAGCAGCGCCCCTCACCCCAAGCCTTCCTTTTCTAGCAATACCTCAAAAAACATTTTCTTGACAACATTTTTAAATTTTGCCCTAATATCCTTTGCAAAATATTTGCCTGGTGACAATCCATCATTTCAGGTATCCATCTTGTCTCCACCTAACTGAGTCTAGTAAATGCTGCTGGGAAGGAAAAAATGACATACTGCCAGTCTTTATCATTCGCATATTGTATTCCACATTTGTGAAGTCATCTGCTTGATACAATTTATTTGTAACCCCAAAATAATACCTGCAGTGTTCGTGGACATGCACAGACTGACAACACTTTTGAGTCACTCAACGTGCATGTTCCCAGCTGAAGTCAATCAAGAAGGCGCTTTACCTTCTTGTTTCAGTTCTCGTACTGGGAACAAGAGTCTTTTGTGTGGCCATTTCGGGCCACATGTTCTATATTTTTGTGCTTTTCTTGGGTGATGCTGCTGTTTAAAATGGCCCCTGACACAGTGCTGAGGTGCTGTTTAGTATCTCTAAGTGCCAAAAGTTGTGATGTTGCCCTACAGAGAAGAAACTTGCGCTAGATAGGCTTCATCAGGCAGGGGTGATAGTGCTCTTACTTGTGAGTTCAATTTTTAATGAATCAACAATATATATTTAAATGAGGTGTCTTTAAACAGAAACACACATAAAACAACGTTACATACTGATCAGCAGATGAAAATGTGACCAGAAGCTCACAGGAAGCTAACCCTCTACTTCCCCTAAGAGCAATGGTTCCATACTCACAGTAATTTGTGGAGCATAATTACTGCGAATAATGAAAGTGAACCAACAAGAATCAACTCCACCTGAATGCTGGGCTCTGCCACTGCCTAGCAATTCTCCTAGATGGTGCTGTCCAACTCCCTCTCCCATTATTCACTGTGGTCTTTTCAAATCCTCCTCCTTATCCTTCAGCTTCTAATCCCACTTTCTCCATCCTCACTCTCAGCCAGTAATTTGCCTTCTAACCCAAAGAAGATGTCTCAAATGTGTGCCTCCAAACGGACAAGCTCCCCGTATCCACAAGCCCTACTTCTTTGCCCCTCCTTCCTGTTATAAAGCAAGAGACTCCTCCTTCTGCCTAAGACTTGGATCTCCACATATATTGTGTGGGTCCCATCTTCTCCCAGGCCTCTTCTCCGAACCTTCCAATACTCTACTTCCTAGTGGCTTCTTCAGAATTCAAATACTATGTTATCTTACCATTGCATTGCAAAGGGGCAAAAAAAAAAAGAAAGAAAGGCAAGAAGGGAAGAAAGGAAGGGAGGGAGGGACAGAGGGAGAGAAAAAGAGAAAACTAATACGAAAAGTAGCAATATGCATCAAAAATTTAAATATAATTTATATGTCCATACTTTTCACCTGGCAATTCTAGAGATAGATCCTAGACCTACTTACAGATGTAAGAGGACGCTCATTGGACCCTTTTTTTTTTTTTTAATTTTCTAATGAAAAAATGAAGCTCACTCAGTTGTTCGATATGAGAGCAGTTAAATGAATTAAAGTCAATTCCATAAAATGGAGTACTATCCAATGGTTAAAAAGAATATGTATGCCAGGTGTGGTGGCTCATGCCTATTATGCAAGCACTGCGAGAGGCCAAGATGGGAGGATTGCTTGAGCCCAGGACTTCAACACCAACCTGGGCAACATTGCAGGACCCCATTTCTAAAAAAAAAAAGAAGAAAAAAATTAGCTGGGCATCAGGTGGTACACGCCTACACGAGAGGCTGAGACGGGAGGATCGCTTGTGCCCAAAATGTTGGGGCTACAGTGAGGCCATGTGCACGTCACTGCACTCTAGCCTTGGTTATAGAGAGAGACCCCGTCTCAAAAAAAAAAAAAAGTGTGTGTGTGCGTCAAAAACAAAATGCAGTACATATTATTATACACAGAGAAAACATCTGGAAGGCACACAATCAACTGCTAAGGGTCATGCTCTCTGGGATATGGAATACGAAAGGAAGGAAGGGGGATGGGAAAACACTCTTACACTATTAATAGTTGAAGTTTTCAGAATGAGCAAACATTACTTTTATAATAAAAATTAGGGAAGGTAAAATAAATCTGCAAAAACCAAAAGCTGAAAAACAGACATATATCATAAAAATTCCCTCTCTCTTTTACAGTTAAACTTCTCAAAAGCAGTCTATACTTACTGCTTCCTCACAATCATTTTGTAAAACTCAGTTCTGTTCCCAAACACTCCAATTGCCCTGGCGCAAGACACAATTCCCTCAGGCTCCTTGAGAACAACCACAGCTTCTGACACCACTGCTTCTTCCCCACTTCAACTGCCCAGTCTCCCTGGTTCCTACTGCAGGCCCCTCTCCTGGTTCCTTTCTCTGTCTCTCGCTGTTCCTTTCCAGGATCCTGCTCTATTTTTCTCCTGCACCATCCTCTTACTTGATGGTATTCTTCAGGGATAGCGACTCACACCTTGTCCTCTCCCTGGGCAATATCATCCACTTCAAAGGACAAACACAAATCATCCACCAAGAAACTCTGACCCTCCCCTCCCAACTCAAAAGGGTCTAACAAAAACTCAAGTCCAGGAAGGAGACAACATACAATGTCTGATCAAGTTTGAGAGTGACAGTATTCTCACTGTAAATAAAATCTACAAAAATGTTCCACAACAGTTTTCTGATATGAGTAAGAGAATCCAGTTACTTCCTTTCACTACATAATACACGATTACAAGCTGCAAGTTCCTTTAACACTCAGTGCCTCAAGTTTCTCATCTGAAAAATGGGAGGGAATGGGTGTTCTACCTCAAAAGGTTGTTTTGAGAACTAATAAGAGCTAACAGATGGGCCGGGTGCAGTGGCTCACACCTGTAATCCCAGCACTTTGGGAGGCTGAGGCAGGTGGATCGTCTGAGGTCAAGAGTTCAAGACCAGCCTGGCCAACATGGCGAACCTCATCCCTACTAAAAGTACAAAAATTAGCCAGGCATGGTGGCACGTGCCTGTAGTCCCAGCTACTCAGGAGGCTGAGGCAGGAGAATCACTTGAATCTGGGAGGTGGAGGTTGCAGTGAGCCGAGATTGCGCCACTGCACTCCAGCCTGGGTGACAGAGCGAGACTCCATCTCAAAAAAAAAAAAAAAAAAAAAAAAGAGCTAACAGATGAAAAGTACTTCGATTAGCCGCAGGCACATAGTATACCCTATGTAACCATATGTTATCATTGACTGAGGCTGCCATGATCCAGCTACCACATGGTACTGAGTTCTGCAGAAGCCAAGCTTCTTATAAGTTCATTAGGTAATTAAACAATAGCATGATACCTAAAACTAGTACACAAGACTATCTTATTCTTTTGGGAGGAATTTTTTAAATAGATAGACCTCTGGCTCAAGGGAGGGAGCAAGGAGGAGGCTAGCATAGGAGGAAACACATTTTTTAAAGTACTCTCAGTAATATATGTATGTATAATTGACTTGGTCATTTTTTCCTGAAAAATTTCATACAGATACCTTAAAATACTAATTATATATATATATTTATATAACTATCTGTTGGTCTGTTCCTTATGTTATACAGTAAGGCAAAGGCTATAGAATCAGACAGACACGGGTTGAAATCCTGGTTCTACCATTTTGAAGCTGTGTGGTCACAGTTTTTAAAGCACTCTCAGTAATATATTAGACTGAGATCTATATTTACATATTTGGCTTGGTCACTTTTTTCCTGAAAAATTTCACAGAGATACCTTGAAATACTGAAAAAGAAAACAAAACATAAGTGTCTGTTGTTCTGTTTCTTATGGCAAGGGCTATGGCATCAGACAGACACTGGTTCAATTCCAGGTTCTACCATTTTGAAGCTGTGTGATCTTGTATCTATTACTTCATCACTCTGAGCCTCAGTTCCCTAACCTACAAAACAGAGCTTGGGAAAAACCACAACGTGCACAGGATTCTCATAAAGATTAAACGAAATAATGCACCCAAAACAGTAAGCACCGTGCCTGGCATGAAATACAACCAATGGCAGTTTTTCCTCATTTTAAATCCCCATAATCATCATTTTATTTTAAAAATAAAGATGAGGCAAAGCTTACCTCTGCCACGGTGAGGACACAGTACACAGACTGATGCTCAGGATCCACGCCTTCTAATTTCATGCCAACTTTGAATCCATTTTTGTTATATGGAAAGGACTGGTGCTAAAATGCAAAAAGACAGCAGCCTTAGTCCCTTATCCCAAAGGCCAAGTTAAAAATGTAAATAGTTACCATTTTAAAAGTAAAGACTATTTAACCAAATACATAATTTCTAAAAATCCACAGAAAAAGAATCAATAAAAAATCTAATGAAAAAATGGACCAAGGCCATAAATAGATTCTAGGAAAGGAAATGTAATGCCATATACCCTGTGTGTTTTACATATTTGAAAAGATGTTCGACCTCATGCAGAAGAGACATACAAAGTAAAATTACACTAAGATACGTTTCACCTGTCAGGCTGATAAAGATCAAAAAATTGGACAACACTGTGTTGGTAAAGCTGTAGGAAAACAGATACATGCACACATCACTAGGAAGAATGAAAATTGGTACAACCTTTAGCAATTTCATAATATCAATCAAAAAATTCTTTTTGACACAACAATTCTAATTCCAGGAAATTATCCAGGAGATACTCACGCATGTGAAAAATCGCTGGTATAGAAGATTATTCACCAAAGCATACAGCAAAAGATTTGAAAGTATATATGTATGTACGTGCAAATCAATAGGGAGCAACCTAAATGATTACAGAACAGGCCTAAGATGGAATACTATGTCTTGCTATAAAAGAATGGTGAAGAGATTCATGACTCAGGAGGGAATCATCCTCAAACTGTCAAGTTAAACAAAAAAAGCAAAGTCCAAAAAGTATACAACATATGTTACCATTTGGTTTAAGACAGAAAGGGAAGGATCTGTGTGTGTATATATATATATACACACATACATTGCTTATATGAACATATAATTTTCCAGGAAGGGAATATAAGAACTGGTAACACTGGTTACTTCAGGAGAGGCAAACCTGGTGCCTGGGGGACAGGGCTACGGAGACATTCTTTATACTACCGTAGTACTTTTATACTTTGAATCACATGCATTCATTACTGATTCAAGGAATTAGCTACATTTAAACTTTTTTTTTTTAATGTAAAAAAGTCTATTCTCTAAAGGACCAAAGCTACAGAAAATAATTACAGAGAACAAGTTTATATGTAATTACTACTATATTTAAATCAAATATTCTTAATGTAGATGTATCACCCTAACATTTACTATTCATCACTTTTTAAAAGCTTGCTATGTTCGTACCTACATAAAAATACATCTATGGCCGATTAATTACATACCATGATTAAATATAATGAAATAATTTAAACCAAGGGTCAGCAAACACCAGTCTGTGGGTCAAACCCAGCGCACCATGAGTTTTATAAACAGTCTTACTGGAACACAGCGATGCCCACTTGTCTACATATTCTCTATGGCTGCTTTTGTGCTACGACGACCTAACTGAGTTGTTGCAACACAGGCCACATGCTCGGAAATGCCTAACATATTTACTATCTGACCCTTTACCAAAAAAGTTTACCGACTCTTGTTTTTTTGTATGTGTTTTTTTTTGTTTGTTTGTTTTGAGACAGGGTCTTGCTCTGTTGTCCAGGCTAGAGTACAGTGGCAGGATCGTAGCTCGTTGCAACTTTGAACACCACGCTCAGCTATATTTTTAGTTATTTATTTATTTTTTTAGAGGTAGGGTCTCACTATGTTGCTCAGACTGGTCTCGAACTCCTGGCCTCAAGTGATCCTACTGCCTCAACTTCCCAAAGTGATGAGATTGCAGGCAGGCGTGTGCCACTGCATCAGGACCCCAACCCTTGGTTTAGTCCAGGGACACTGACTGCTACTCATAATTACATCTGATATCTATATTGTTAACTGATTTTAAATCGCTTATGATAAAACACTTTTATTGTAGCTAATACAATATAGTGACCCATTTTTAGATGTTTTGTTGTGATAGTATGTAAATTGTAGTAACTCATTTCTCATCTCTCAAAGCCACAATCTTGTGAAATTTCCTAAGATTTTTTTCTTCATCTGGTAGTTTTTCACGGTAGTATTAGTACCCTGTTAAAATTCATGATCGCAAGCTCATAAAATGCTGAGAGCAAAAAGCACACGTGTCAGTGTGCACCCACACATGTGGCATGGGGAAGGCACGCACATGTCAATGTTAACCGCCCTCCATATAAACACACGCGTGAAAAACTGTATGCTGAAAAAATGATCTCAAGTCAAATTTCAATGGAAACAACAATCCTAACTCAGGCTGGTATCCCAGCTCCTGTGCCCTTACAGATCATGTCTCTAGAAGGGCCCATACCTCCTTGAACAGCTTCGCTGGCACTGCCACAGCTTTCTCCTCTTCCAGATAGGATGCCCAGCACCATGCTTTCTTTCCTTTAGGAGGCAAACCTGAAAGGCAAGCGAAACTGAAATGACAGAATTTCCAAATCTAAGCCAGCAGTGCTTCATCTGTGAACTCACACTTCCCTGACTGATACTCTGCCTGGCTCTTCTCTGCCTTCCAGGGCTGGTATCTCTCAGTCTCTCTTCCTGGCTCCTCTTCCCAAGAACCAAGATAAAAACCGAACTGTGGTTTGCACCCTCAGTGAGGAGGGTAGGAGATGGAAGTGGAAGAACTTAGAATAAAGGAAGAAGATAGCAGGAAGTCAAGACAAAACACTACCACAGAAGCTACAGGAAGGGGGAGCTTCTAGAAGCAGGATGCTCAAAAAATTTTCCCTGAGATCAAGAAGTTGAGGACTGTGGAAAGGCCAGTGCATTGAGTGGCTGCTCATCTTGAAAAGGAAGGAAAACCATCAATACAGTGAGAGGCAGATTTTTAGGTGCAAAAAGAAGGCATAAGTGATAAAAATAATGGAGGCACTTAATATTCGTTTTATATATTTTGAATTAATTAGAAAAAGACTGGAAATGAAGGAAAAATATAATAGTCTGATGGGGAGCAAAGTTGAGAGAAAGGTACTTTAGGGATGAGACGGGAACAGGCTAAGGCAGAGTACACAAAGAGAAGAAAAAAATTGGAAAACTTATGGAAAAAATGTGACTGAAGGAACAAGGTCCCAGAAGAGCCAGGGGCCTGGAAGTTCATCCGGGGTAAAAAAGAAGGGCAAGGGAAAGGATGGTGAAAGAAACAGACGTTTCAAGGCAGAGAGAAGAGGAAAGTGACGTAAAACAGAAGGTCAGCTCTGAAAAGACACAAAAGTTAAGCTGTGTGCCTGGGGCAGGTGGGGCTATTTCCAATTTTTTAAGGAATTAACAGAACAAGGCTAGAATGCACCCCAGCACTGAGGAGGAGCGCCTGGTCCATGGCCCTGGTTTGTCAGGACAGTATGACTGTGCAGGCTGTGAGCTGAGGCAGGCAAGGGGATACAGCCTAGTGGGGGACACCCCCCAGGGCCTCTATGGAAGTGACCCAAGGTCCACACAGAATAAGCAGAAAAGTACATCGAGACAAATACTAAAGGGAAGGGCTTCAGGGCCGGCTTCCTCCTGGAAATAAAATGCTGCATGAGGAACAATGGAACAAACAAAAAAAAGGGCCAGGGAAGGTGGCTCGTGCCTGTAATCCCAGCACTTTGGGAGGCGGACCCAGGCAGATGGCTTGAGGTCAGGAGTTTGAGACCAGCCTGGACAATATGATGAAACCCCATCTCTACTAAAAATACAAAAATTAGCCGGGCGCAGTGGTGCACTGCTGTAATCCCAGCTACTTGGGAGGATCTGGAAGGGGAATCACGTGAACACAGGAGGTGGAGGCTGTTGTGAGCCAAGATTGCGCCCCATACTTCAGCCTGGGTGACAGAGTGAGAATCCATCTCAAAAACAGAGGGGAGGGGAGGGGAGGGGAGGGGAGGGGAGGGGAGAAGAGAGGAGAAGAGAAGAAGAAGAGAAGAGAAAGAAAGAGAGAGAAGAGAAAGAGAGAGAGAAGAGAAGAGAAGAGAAGGAAAAAAACAGGTTCCATACCAGGAAGACTCATATTTTGAGAGAAACATTAAAACCTAAAACTGTAGAAAATGAACAAGAACAGAGGGTTTTAGTAAAAAAGAAGCAGAGGAAGAAACACCTACTTGATGGGGGACAGAGAGAGGGAGAGAGGGAGAGAGGGAGAGAGGGAAAGAGAAGAGAGGGAAGAGAAGAGAAGAGAAGAGAAGAGAAGAGAAGAGAAGAGAAGAGAAGGAAAAAAACAGGTTCCATGCCAGGAGCTCATATTTTGAGAGGAAACATTAAAAACCTAAAACTGTGGGAAATGAACAAGAACAGAGGTTTTAGTAAAGACGCAGAGGGAAGAAACACCTACTTGATGAGGGGGACAGAGAGAGAGAGGGAGAGGGAGAGAGGGAGAGAGGGAGGGAGGGAGATGAGGAAAGGGGGACAGAGGGAGGGAGGGAGGGAGAGAGAGAGGGAGGAGGGAGGGAGAGAAGGAGGGAGGGAGGGAAAGAGAGAGAGAGAGAGAGAGGAAGGGAGGGTGGAGAGAGAGAGTGAGGGAGATGGGGAGGGGGGACAGAGGGAGGGAGGGAGGAGGGAGGGAGGAGGGAGGGAGGAAAGGAGGGAGGGAAGAAGAGAGGAGGAGTGAGAAAGGAGGGAGGAGGGAGAGAAGGAGGGAGGGAGGGAGTGGGGGAGGGAGAGAGAAGTAGGGAAGGAGAGAGAGGGAGGGAGGGAAGGAGAGAGAGGGAAGGAGGGAGAGATGGAGAGAAGGAGAAAGGGAGGGAGGGAGGGAGGGGGAGGGAGGGAGGGAGAGAGGGAGAAAGGGAGGGAGGAAGAAAGGGAGAGGGGAGAGAGCAAGTAAAGGAGGGAGGGAGGGAGGAAGGAAGGAAGGCAGTTCTCATGCTTACCCCAAAACCACTTGAAAGTTATGAATTTTCATTTTTTTCCTTATCCTCAAAATCTCAATCTTTATTGACAAAACCGAATCAAAGAAAATCCTGAAGTAATACTTTAACTGCCATGACTAAAATTTCCACCTGTGTAAACCATTTTCAATTCCATAAAGTTACAAGTAAGACTTTATTTTCATCAGCTCACCCTGCTTTAATACAGCCGAATCTCCTCGTCTTTTCCTCCGCGCTCTCTGCGAACCCCTCAGGATTCTTACATCTTGTTTGTTCTCCTACAAAAAGAAAGGAAAATTATGACTTTACAGTTCAAGAAATTGGCACCAGTGAATAGTTAGCTGTCAGTAAGCACTTTTTCTGTTGTTCTTTTCTTCCATTTTACCTTATAACTTTAAAGGAAAGTAAGAATAGAGTTCATTTGAAAACTGTGTTGCTTTTGGCCTGAGGTTATTATAAACTAAGACCGTATCCATGTATTACTCACTGGAAGGGCATGGACACCGCTCCCCGCTCCTTGAAATACTTCCGCCCTCAGCTGCATGACCACTCCGCTCTGATTTCCTCATGCCTCACCGGCACCTCTTTGTCTCCTCTGCTGATGTCTCCTCCAATCCAGTTCCCTTCTCTACCCTTTCTAGTCCCTTTCCCTGGGTTTTCAAGGTCGCTTTATAGGCCAGATACTCCCAATCCACATCCCCAGCTTCCTCTTCCTGACTCCATGTGGCTGTACACAAATGCCTACTTGGGCTCTTCATCTGGATAGTTAATCAGCATCTCAAACCCATCATGGCCAAAGGACTCTTTGTTCTGCACTCCACCCTCATCTTCCCATTCTCAGTAAGAGACATGATTATCCAGTCAATTGTTAAAGCCAAAATTCTAAGCGTTATCCCTGATTTTTCTCTTTTTCTCACACACTCTGACAACCCTACCTCTATTGATTCCCAAATCCACAGACTTCCATCTTCTTTAGCCTTCTTACAGGTCTAGTGCAATAAACTCCTAACTGGTTTCCCTGATTCCACTCAGGGCTACAGTGGTCATTTAAAACATACATCATATCAAAGCATTCCCTTGTCTTAACTTTCCAGAGGCTTCCCCTGAAACTCAGAATACAATGAACACCCATGACTCGTTTACCATAAAACTCTACATGCCCTGGGCCACACGTACCTCTTCAACTTCATCTTACTCCATCCTCTCCTAAACTACAGTGACCAGGCTTTCTTTTATTTCCTCGAACAGAACATGCTGCGCAAGTTCTTACCTTGAGGACTTTCCTCTGGAAGTTCTACTACCCACAAGACGCCTCACCCTTAACTTCACATAGCTGGCTCCTCTTCATTAATGAGATCATGCTGTTCATGTCATTGTCTTTGGGAGGGCTCCCTTACAACCGGACCTAGAGCAGTCAGCCTATCCTAATGCCCTATTTTAATTCTCAACATAGCACTTACCACTAGGTGACATTTCTCCTGTTCACTTTGTTTGTAGATTAAATACCCCCTAAACAAGAATGCAGTGCCTCTGCCAGGAGAGACTCTGTCATCTATCTGTTTTATGCATCCCTGTATTCTCAGCTCCCAGCACAGTGACTGGCAAGTAACAGTTGTACAGTACTGATCTTAAGGGAAACGCTTCCAGATCTCAAAGTTCCCTTTTCCTATAGAACCATTAATAGATGCTTTAGGAATATGATATTTATGTTTTAATTCACACATTTTGAATGGCTTTTCCCCAAATATACCTCATATTTATGTGCCATTTTTTAACCACTCAGATAGTTTTATGAGATCTGTCTGCAATTTAGTGAAATTGGATTGGCATTTTGTTGTCAAGAGGAATTTAAGATTCATCTACAAGATAGAATGCGTTTAAACGTTCCCTTTCACCCTAGCACTAAATTTCAAGACATCCCACTTTTTCACCCTGAGAGAAGAATACTATGTTTATGATTCCCATTTTGAGATCAAGACAGCGAGGCGCAGAGACGCCACGTAACTTGCTGACAGTAACACAGATAGTCCTGGAACCCACATGTGAACTCAGTGGGCTCCAGAGCAGTGCTTGTGACTGTGACGCTACCCACTAAAGATGCATCCCTGCACTCCTGGTGTCAGGCAGAGGCACTCACCATTTCATCATCTCTCTCTTCTCCATCCTCCTTGGGGTCCACTTTCAGAGATAATTTTGGTTTTTTCTTCCGACTACACTTAGGATCTTCTTCCTCGTTGTCTTCTTCTATGTCCCTTTCTTCCTTCTGATCTCTGTTGTGTTTATAAACCCAAAATAGTGACAAGAGACAATACCTATCAAACATCTACTTGTTGATCATCAATGCAACAATCATTAAAAAAAAAAAAAAAAAAAAAAAATTCACCCTCCAAAGGAAAAATCTTTAACTACCAGGAGAAATCTGTAGGCATGAGACTATCATATATCAGGAACACTGAAAACCACTATTACATATGACATCTGTCAGGGCAGAAAATGAAAATAACCCTGTATATTAATTTCAAAAGGGGGCCAGCGATATGTATGAAATAGGTTCTAACAAGTTATTTGTCTGTCACATCTACCATCTATACTAATAAAAGAATTATTTACAGATACTTGTTTTCAGGGTCAAACAAGGATCTAGCAGTTATTAAGAATGAAAACTCCAACCGAAAAAATGCGAAGTATAACTCTGTGAAACATCAGTTAGCCAAGAAAAACAAGACGGTTCCAGCTGGGTGCAGTGGCTCATGCCTGTAATCCCAGCACTTTGGGAGGCCGAGGCAGGCGGGTCATGAAGTCAGGAGATCAAGACTAACCTGGTTAACATGATGAAACCCCATCTCTACTAAAATACAAAAAACTAGCTGGGTGTGGTAGCATGTGCCTGTAGTCCCAGCCATTCAGGAGGCTGAGGCAGGGGAATCGCTTGATCCTGGGAACGTGGAGGTTGCAGTGAGCCAAGATTACGCCACTGCACTCCAGCCTGGCGACAAGGTAAGACTCCGTCTCAAAAAAAAGAAAAACAAGACAGTTCCCAAGCCTGTGCTGATTAAAATGCATGGGAAACACCACTAAAATATAAATGTCCAGTCATTTCTTTGTAGTATACAATGATATGCAAGAAAAACACCTGCTTGGCAGTAAGCTGAACTTTGTCAGACAGTCCCCAAATGGGAAGGTCACACACCACTGCCAGTCACAGCTGATGCCGCTGTCTCATAATCCTCAGTCCACCCCTTCAGATCATCAGTGACACAACTCACTACACTCTTCCCTATGGCCATTTCCACTCAGGTGACTACAAATCAGTGGAAGCTTTATGCCATATGTGGAGTTTTAGCCGAGTTACCTAAGAATTCCCAAAATATAAACAAAACTATGGTTCTATAAATGTGTCATCAAAATGTGTATGTAGCCCAGAAAAAACTAAATACTCTTAGCTGAAGAACAATCAAATGAATGGAAATGGAAGACTGAAGGCAGAGGCAGAGGCTGTTTTGCAGGCAGAATGTTAGTAATACAACTCAGACCAGGCACGACAGACGTCACCAGGTCCCATATAGGGGTTAGGGCCCATGTGGCCCTAAAGGAAAAGTCTCTGGGAAAAACGTATCAATAGGTGACCAATGTCAGAGAGCATCAAACTTCTATATTCTCAGGCACCATGACTTTGGACTCTAAAACTCATTTTATAGATGGAATGGGGAAAAAACCTACTTATCTTTGATGTGCCGAGCACAATTCTGGCTGCAATAGTTTCCTCCAGAAAGACACTCATCTACGTTGCCATACTGACAACAGTTCTCACAGAACTGAAGCCCTTCTACTTTCACAGCATCCTTCAACCTGAAAGGCACCCCAGTCTTCTCTGAAAAGACTAGAAGATGAAAAGAAGAAATGCAAATTAAAAGCATGACAGAAGACATTCTAAAATACAATTAAACTTTTTCTTCTAATAATTTTGTTAGCAACACAATAAAGAATAGTGTTTGTTGAATGAATGAATGATCAAATGATAGTGTTTTTGCGGGGTATGGGCTCTGTAAAAATCACTCAAGTCATTCAAATAATGAAAAAATATTCTGCAGAAAGGATAAACAAAAGCTTGCCCAAGGCTCTTCTACAGAGTTCAAAGTAAAATGAAGAAAATTTCATTAGTCACTAAATTCAGAAGACGCATATATCGATCTATAAAATCCTCTTCTATATTTGTATCTTTCAGAAAATTTCAAAGGATCATCTTTTATTTCACATTTATAATCTGTTGATGAATGATTTTGTTTCACTTAATTGGCTAAATCAACATCTCATCTATTACGCTTTCAATGTAGTACATTTCCTGAATCATAGCTATCCAAATTGTGCAGAAACTCACATCTCCTTTTGCCTGAATTGTTAGGCTAATCATTCATTCAGCCAACAGTTATTAGGCACCAATTTATTCTAGACATTAATAATGATAGTAGAGACCTTGCCCAAGAGAGCTCACAGTCTAGAAGAGAGGCAAGAAAACCAGTATTTATAATAAAATGTGATACATGCAATACTAGAGGCATAAACAACATCCAGAAGTAGTACAGAAGAAGTGATTCATTCAGCCTGGGGTAAGGTCAGAGAAGGATTTTCTGATAGAAAGCCTCAACAGGGTTTTGAAGGCCAAAGAGGAATTTACCAACTGGACAAAGAGAGAAATGGCATTTGAGCCAGAAAAAGCAGCATGAGTAAAGGCAAGAAAGCATGAAACCACATGATGTGTTGGGAAAATTACACATAATTCTGTGCTGCTGGCACTGCCAGGACACAACATACAAAGAAGGAAATGGAGACTGAGGAGACAAAGCGAGCAGGGAGGTGCACACAGCACCCAGATCTTTGCATGTTCTGCTAAAAAGGCAATGAGAAATCAGTGAAGTGTCAGGTAAGCAATCTATGTAAGTTCCTCTGGCTTCAAGGTGCAGGACCAATTGGAAGGGGATAAAATTAGAAGCAGACTGACATCTGCAATAGCTCAGATGAGAGTTGAGAAGAGCCTACATTAAGGCTGTGGCAAAGATGATAGGTAGAAAAGGCCAGATCTGAGACATATTAGGAAATAAAAATCAAGAGGTATAAGTAACAGGATATGGGGATGGGAAGAACAAATTCAGGATGACTCCTATATTCCTTTCTTGTCCACTGGGTGGATGGTGCTATTGTCAACTGAAATATGGGTTAGGGAAGAAAGAGCAGGTTTGTGGGGAGGGGAGAAAGAAATAGAAAATGAATTGCATTTCAGACATGTGGAGTTTGAGGTACCTGTGGGACATCCAGGTGGAGATGTCCAGTAGGCAGGTGGAAATACGGGCCTGGAGCTCGGGGGAGAGGTCGGGGCTGGAGATGTAGATTTAGGAGTCATCAGCATATAGGTGTTAGTTACAACCATCGGAGTAGATGAGAAAAAAAGTGGCAGGCTTTTGGCTAAATCACCTGTGTAGGCTACAACATGGATTTACTTAATTTCCAACTAACCTTGTGCTACTATAGATCTGGCATTAAGAAAGAAGACAGTTTATAGTTATTTTAAAATATAAAAGCTGGCTCCTATCAGTTTCATTACAGAAATTTACCTAACAACATGAGGGATAAAAATTACCCAGGGCCTTCAAAATTCCAGCCTATTATAAAATTTTTGATATTCTTATTTCGAATCTTTCAAAAGCAAGAAATAAAATGCAGATGACCCATCTTTACCTTCTTGAGCAGTTGGTACCATCCAAGTGGTGGTAGCAGTTGCTTTTTTAACATTTTCCATCTCATTCTCATCTGTAATAACTTCCAAGGCTCCAAACTCATTTACCCGAAACTAGCGACAACAGAGCAGAAAGAGGCAAAATTTACAAAAGTGCTCAGGAAAGTCATTAATTATTTAATGGCTGACACATATAGTCTTCAAGCAAATTCATTACATGTTGAAAGTTAATTTAGACAATTATATCCTGATAAGCCTCCCACCAATACTAAGACCTTTGCATTTTACTAGTTTTGGAATTCAAGGAAGGAGAACAGAACAAAGCAGCAAGGTCTGCTGAAGGATATCAACAACCCTGCTCTGCCCTGTCCTATAGAGTTGGCAGTTTACTTGATGGGCTATCATTTCGAACACACTGTGTGTGTGTGTGTGTGTGTGTGTGTGTGTGTGTGTGTGTGTGTGT